ATATTATGCAAAGGAGAACACAAATAATTTGGCAGATAGTTAGCTGTCTCTGCCACACCAAAATTAATTTAGACCAGAGTGGTCTAATGGGAATACAAAGTGAGCCACATATGTCACTTTCAATGTTCAAGTAGGGGACTCGTATGCATCACATATCACTATCAGTAATGAGAAATAGAACTGAAGTCAGGTAGTTAAGGAAAGAGAAAACACCTGGTTCTGACAGTTCTGAGATACAAGGACTAAAGTAGATGCTGAAGACATGAGCAACACACTAATAAACATTGATGGAAGAACTATGGCAAAAATCTGGGTCCACAGGTTTGTTAAAGGGATGAGAAAGCTGTTTGTCCTGCCCCTCCCTAATTATCTTATTCTTCCATCAATCAGCATTTTAAAAAGAAAGCTGTACAGTAGGACAGCTGGAGACACATGTCAGAGCCGGTTTCCCCAGAAGCAGTGTCCCTTCGAAAAATGACAATAGCAGTGGGCACGTGGCCTAACTCGCCAGCAAAGTCTGATTCCCTCTGTTTTTTTAATTTGACTTTTTCCCCCTAGTTTAAGAATTAGTTTTGAAACTACTCTGAATTGTTTTTTAGATTTTATTTAATTTTAGAGAGAGGGGAAAGGAGAAAGAGAGGGAGAGAAACATCCATGTGTGGTTGCCTCTCACACACCCCCTACTGGGGACCTGGCCTGCAACCCAGGTATGTGCCCTGACTGGGAATCGAACCAGCAACCCCTTAGTTCATAGGTTGGCACTCAGTCCACTGAGCCACACCAGCCAGGGCTAAACTACTCAGAATTTCATCAAGCCTCTTATGTTTATTTTCTGGTTTGCAGGGAATACAAACCATAGTGAGGAGGTTGTCAAACTTGAGTGAGCTTCAGGATCCCCTGGAGGTTTTGTTGAACCTGTGCTGGGCCCCACCCCCAGAGTTCCTGATTCAACTTTAAAGCAGAAGCTTTAAGACATAGCACATGATCCCACTTTCGATCCTTTTCTTCCTCTTTTTTAAAAGTATATTTTATTGATTATGCCATTACAATTGTCCCAATTTTCTACCTTTGCCCCCTTCCACCTGGTATCCCCTTCCCTGCAGCAATCCCTCCCTTAGTTCATGTCCATGGGTCATACATATAAGTTCTTTGGCTTCTCCATTGCCTATACTATTCTTAGTATCCCCCTGTCTATTCTGTGCCTACCAGTTATGCTTCTTATTCCCCCTACCATTCCCCCATTCTCCTCCCTCCCCCTCCCCGCTGATAACCCTCCAACTGATCTCCATGTCTATGATTCTGTTTCTGTTCTGCTTGTTTGCTTAGTTTATTTTTTACTTCAGATTTAGTTGTTGATGGCTGGGAGTTTGTTGCCTTTTTAATGTTCATAGTTTTGATCCTCCTCTTTTTCTTAAATAAGTCCCTTTAACATTTCATGTAATAAGGGCTTGGTGATGAGGAACTCCTTTAGCTTTACCTTGTCAGGGAAGCACTTTATCTGCCCTCCCACTCTAAATGATAGCTTTGCTGGATACAGTAATCTTGGGTACAGGTCCTTGCCTTTCATGACTTTAAATACTTCTTGCCAGCCCCTTCTTGACTGTAAGGTTTCTTTTGAGAAACCAATTGATAGCCTTATGGTCACTCCTTTGTAGGTAACTGTCTCCTTTCCTCTTGCTTCTTTTAGGATTCTCTCTTTATCTTTAACCTTTGGCATTTTAATGATGACGTGTCTTGGTGTGGTCCTCTTTGGGTCCAACCTGTTTGGAATTCTCTGTGCTTCCTGGACTTGTATGTCTATTTCCTTCACCAAATTAGGGAGGTTTTCTTTCATCATTTTTTCAAGTGAGTTCTTTGAGCATCCTGATCACCAGTGTTTTGAACTCTGCATCTGATAGATTGCTTATCTCCCTTTTGTTTAGTTCTCTTTCAGGGGGTTTGTTCTGTTCTTTCTTTTGGACTGTATTTTTTTGTGTCCTCAATTTGGCAGCTTCCCTGTGTTTATTTCTGTGTATTAGGTGGAGCTGCTTTGACTTCCTGTAAAAGGCACCTGTAAATTATGTGGGGTAGAGCCTTAGCTAATCAGCAGGGTGAGGCGACCCACTTCACCACTCTGTGGCTCTGTGGCTCTATGGCTCTGTGTGGAGAAGGCTGATGGACTGTGACGCTGCCTGGCTTCTGAAGGTTTGCCCGGCACTTGCCTCATTTCTAGTCACTTCACCCACTCTCCGTATGCAACTGGCATGCTTCGAGCTATTGCCCTGGTGTTGAATCCCAGAGTGTGTTTGTTTGCATAGGCTTTAAGACTATGCGGGCCCTTTGAGCAGAATTTCCTGAAAATCCAGCAGTTTCTTCCCCAACCCTAATTGGTTTTTACATTCAGAAGTTATGGGTTTCCAGCATTGGAACCCTGGTCTGTGCTGTCTGGCCTAGGGCTCTGGATTGTTCACTCCCAAGGTATCCCTCCCGGATACCAAAGGACTGAATGTAATTTTAGGACTGTATAAATGTAACTACTCCTTAATTAGGGACAAGGAGCTCCACATTCAGCCCTTTGAAGGCAGCTGTGAGGCTGATGGTGGTCCCCAGTGAAAATGAGTTTGACACCCCAGATCTATCAGTTGCCTTTCAAAGGCTCCCAACCAGGGACCTGGCCTGCAACACAGGCGTGTACCCTGACCGGAAACTGAACCAGCAATCTTTCAGTTTGTAGGACAAAACCCAACCCACTGAGCCACATCAGTCAGGGTTCATGAGAAACTTTTACCCTCTCCCTGAAAGAATTTAAATGTGGGGCCTTGTCCTTAATAAGAATTATTTCCAGAACTAACTTTTTTGGGACCTATCTGTAGGGCACACTTCTAATTACCAAACATCTGCTCTTCTTACCATCTTGCGAATGACCTTCCTCCCCTCTGAAGTCCTAAGGCATCTTACTCCATCCTTATGTCAGAATGCCGTGTATATCTTTTTTTCCCCTTTTGTCTCTGACTCTCTTGTATGTGGGGTTCCCATACATATGTATGTAGTTAAATTTGGTTATTTTCTCTTGTTAATCTGTCCCATATCAATTTGATTTGATTGTTAGACCAGCAGAAAGAACTTAGAAGGAGAGAGGAAAATTTGTTCCTCTCCCATATGACCTTGCGCTAACTACTTAACCTTCCTGTTCACACAAGTAGACAGCAAATAGGGCAAAGGCCATTTACTTGTGCTGTCTGTTAACCAATAAGTCTGAACAAAGATCACCTTGTTCAAAGATGTCAATATATAAAGTGAAGTGCACAAAACTAATCATGGAATAGATAGATAAGCATACATATAAAAAGAATAGCCTATGAAATCCAAAAGAGAAATTTTATGACCTGTTTAGTATGGTTTTGCAAGAAGGTAGACCTTTAAAATCTGAACAGAGCCCTGGCTGATATGACTCAGTGGATTGAACCCTGGTTTGAAAATTACACAAGATCATGGGTTCGTTTCTTGCTCAGGGCGCATTCCTGGGTTGCAGTGCAGGTTAGGGGAGGGTGGTTGGGGGCAGGCAAAAGGCAACCAATTCATGTTTCTATCGCACATCCATGTTTCTCCCCCTTTTTCTCTTTCCCTTTCCTTTCTCTCTGAAAATAAAAAGAAAATCTTGGGAAAAAAAACCCCAAGAAATTCTTAAGGAAATTAAAGGATGAGATGGAAAGTCATTAGGATGAATTGAAGGTGGGCAGGGGGAACAACTTACACAAAGAAACAAAAATCTCAATAATAGAATTTAAGTAAAAACAGAGGCAGAAATAATGCTTTGGGAAACCTTATCAGTAATATTAAAAGCAAATTTGAGGTCCACCAGAATGGCCATATATATAAAAGAATTACCACAAACTGCTTTTCCTAAAAAGACCAGATTGACTGGACCTGAGACAATTCTTGTAGGTAAAATGTCAGAGCTCTGAGGTGTTTGAAGAATAAGTATACTGGGTCTGAGGGAGAGACAGGACTGCAAAGATGAGGATTGTGAGTCCAAATGAATGGGATTTGTAACTTAAAGTTTTAGAGATGGAGCAGTATAAAGTGATGTATGTCTAGACTTTCTAGAACATATGCCTGTGAATGGGTGGAGGGAGTAGAGGTGTCATCTGGGTTGAGGAAGTTAAGGAAACACTCCTCAGTAATGAGTGTTGGATTCTTTGGGATGATGGCAGTAATTCAGGAGAGGAAAACTATTGTACTAAGTAGATGACAGTGGCAGGGAAGGTGAGAGGTGGTACTACCAGACGAGGCAGACCCTGAAAGAGATAAAAAGAATATCAAAGTGGCAAGTGAGAGGGCTCCAAGAGGGAGGGACATACTACCTTTGGGGCTGGTGGATGGAATGTGGGAGGAGAAAAATCAATACAGCAGACAAAAATGAGTCGGTATTTTGAATTGATGGTAGAGAGATGTTGGTCCCAGTAACCTACTGGGGAGGTCCAGAGGGGAGGTTTTGTTTTTTCGGGTAGAAGTTTAAATTTGAGGCCATGGCGAATGGTTACAGATTGAGTAGGCAGAGAGGGAGGCCACAGGGATGCACGTGCCGGTGGGATGGCTCTGGAAGGGCTTCGAGGGCCAACCCAGGGCCTGGAAGGCTTCCTGCGCCCCCACGTGCACAAGGCTGGAAGGCCTAGGAGACCAAGCTTCTGTCTCTGACTGAGGTGTGAGCTCCAGACCCTAATAACTCTCAAGCCTAGGATCCTTGCACCTGCAACGTCCGATGCGGTCCTTCCTTGGCAGCGGGCCAGGGCAGACGGCGCACGCGCTCTGGACAGAACAGCAGAAGGCGCAGGCGCCTGGGTCAGAGCGGCCCGTAGGGGTCACACCGGTTGTGAGAGCCCTCAGAGCGCGGGTTATCCCAGAGAGCGCGGGTTGGGAAAGGCGGCCCCGCGCAAAGTCGCGGTAGTGGGCGGGGCCAGGGCGGGGCGCGGCAGTTGCGGCAGGAAGTCGTTCCGGTTTCGCGGCTAGCTCGTGGTGCAGTTGCGGTCTGATGCGGTTGCAGTCGTAAAGGCGAGGCTGGAGGGGGCGGCGGCAGCGGTGGCTACCTGGACCTCGGGGACCGGTGAGCAGCTCGGCAGGGCGGAGGGGGCGTGGAGGCTCCGATCCACCGGGATGGCGTGTCTGTCTCCCGGGAAGGGCGGTTCTTGGGATGGCGGGTGGGGCAGCGGAGAAGATGCCGCGGCCAGGCTCGGACTCCCGTGCACCGTTTTTTTCCGTGCCACTACATCTGGCCCTTGGGCTGGTTCCTTCTCTTTGGCTCAGCGATCCCGCCACCTGCTGCCACGGCTCCAGTCCTTCCCCGTTGTTGGGCACTCTGCGGTCCCGGTGGTTGGGAGTGTCTGCCACGGGGACTCGGGGAGCGGTGTCCGGGGACGGTCTCTGATGCAGCCGCGAACGCGTTGCCTGAGCGACCCGAGCGGAGGAACCCCCGCTTTGTCCTTCTCCAGGGGCACTCCAGCCGCGCTGTGGCATCTTCCTCCAGAATAAGTAGTGAAGGGTGCTCTTTACCCTAGAGAGTTCAACTTGTCTGTTTAGAAACGTACAGTGAAAATCGGCTTCATCTCCAGGGCTTCTCTAGTGTGTATTAGGAAACTGGGCTAGTCATTGACAGGCTTGTCCTTTGGGAGGGAGGGAAGAAAAGACATGGGAGAGAAACTTATCCCCCCAAATATTTTCCTGCCAAAATGCTGTTAAGAGCTGCCCCTTAGGTGATGCTTTTCTTTTCTGGAGCAAAGTAAAAACTACAGGTAGAAATAGGGAATGTTCGTCAGACTTCTGGCGAGGCAACTGTTGGAGCGTTTTTCTGAATTCCAGCTGGTAGGAATGGAAGACTGGGATTTGAAAAGAATAGGCTTGGGTGTGGATTCGTGAATGCTTTATGTTTCAACGGTACTTTTTAAATTGAGGTGGCATTGGTTAATAAACAACTTTCGGTGTACAACATTATATACAATTCAATGCTATTTTAATGGTAATGGTATTCTAATGCGTTTTTAAAATGTTATTTAAAAAATGACTACTAAAATGTTCTTTTGGAAGTTCCCCTCTTCCATACCCCCTAGACACTGAAATATGCGATTACAAAGAAGATAGTTTAACAACTTCGCATAACAATTGTGAATATGGTTGCATAAGGACCCCCAGTCTTTTTCTTTGCAGTGATGAATGTATGTATTTCTCTAAAGTGGATAATCTTTGGCAACCATTTTATTTTCTGACTCCATACCCTTATATGACCCCCAGTAATTTATTTAGTTGGCTATTCCCAGTCATTAATTACTTAAATGTATTGTCAGAGAAATGTAAATCTGCATATCCATAATTACTTTCTTAGTGTAGGTTCCTAGATGATAGAATCGATGGTCTGTTTCTGTGAATTGCTCCATTTCCCTCTGGAAAAGATGTGCCCTTTTGCACCCCCACCAACAATCTGTAGGTGTTCTTCTCCACACCCTAGCTAAAGGCAGCATTTAAAGGATTTCTATAGGAACACTTTAGCCCTTTCTGTTTTTCTCCAACCATGTGCAGATGTCTCCTCTAGCTATCCTTTCTCCCCCGTATTTGTTGATAGCATTTCAGTTTCTCATCTTTTATTCCACTTTTACTGGTTTAGTAAAGACGGTATCTAGATGAGGCGAAAGCATCACAGAGTGAGTAGGAGATTTGAAGTCAGGACTCCCTTGAATTCCAGTGCATCTGATTACATTGCACAAGTCATTCATTTTTTTTCCTAAGGGATTCTTTCCTCAACTCTGAATTAGACATTAGAGAGCATTTGCCTTACCGTTCTTACAGTGTAGTTTTAAGGGTCAAATGAGGCATTTATGGAAAAGTACATTTAAATATACTTTGTCTGGCTGCTAATTATTGTCATCTTATAAAAATTTCAGGGCACATAAGCATCTTGATTTTTTAAAGGAAATATCGAAATTCAAAAAGCTATTTTGTGATGCCTTTTGTCCCCATACTCTTTCACTCTTTAAATTTGAAGTTTTATGCTACTGCCCCAGATTATATTAAAAATGATATCAGAGTTATAAAATTAGGTGAATGAATGAATTTACACAAACGTTGGAGAAAATATTTAAAAGCACTATATATAAAGCTGAGGACAGATATAATAAAGCTAAAAAAACCTAATCCTCAGGATCAAAGTAAATAAAACATAGTCTTTGCGTCCTACAAGGTACAGAATGTCCAGGAGGTTAGAGGGCATAAAATCTGCTTTCAGAATCTAGACAGCAATTTTAGATGTGATGCAGGATTCAACTGTACTGGAGTGTGCTAAAGGCCAATTCTACTAAGTAAGCATCTGTGAAATGACCAGGCAGTCCCTTCAGGGGGTAGAGTTGAAAGGTGGGGAAATGCTACAACCTGGATTTTAGCTTCAGGTCCTTCACTGGAGCAGATTGGTTCATCTTTTTGAGACTCAGTTTCTTCACCTCTGAAATGGAGGTAATCCCAGTTTCCTCAAAGGCCTGTGAGGATTAAATGAGACAGTAGTTTGTACCACACTTAGTACTGGCACTCCTGTGATTTTTTTGCTACCTACTGAAGGTTTAGCAACTCCAGGAAATAAACTACGTCTTTTCCAACTTGGCATGCCTAGCCTCTAGGCAGTCACTGTTTGCTAAATTAACAGAAAAGGGACTGCTGATAAAAATAAAAATTCATTTTGGACCATTGAAGAAGGTAATATGTAAATGTGGATCACTGGGAGGAATTGACTATATTATATGGAGGGGATAAGAAGGAATCAAGGAAATATTAAAACGAATTGGACCTAGAGGCATCTCTGTTATTACTGTCATTCTCCAATGTATTCTCAGTGCCAGCCAATATATAGTCCCTCCTTACCAATAGCGAAGACCTTAGACCCCTATCATCCAGCAGCCAGCAACCCCGTTTCTTTCCTCCCCTTCCAGCTAGACTGTTAGAAGGAGTTAATTGGCTTTCTCAGTCTCCTTACCTTCCACTGAAGCTGTGTGGTCACATTTTTCTTTTTCTTTTTCTTTTTCTTTTTCTTTTTCTTTCTCTTTTTCTTTTTCTTTTTCTTTTTCTTTTTCCTTTTTTAAGGTTTTCTTTATTTTTTAGAAAGGGGAAGGGGGGGAAGAAAGAGGGAGAGAAATGTCAATGTGTGGTTCCCTCTCCTGTGACCCTTACTGGGGACCTGGCCCACAACCCAGGCATGTGCCCTAGACTGGGAATCGAACTGGCAACCCTCTGCTTCACAATCCATGGCTCAATCCACAGAGCCATACCAGCCAGGGCTTTTCTTTCTTTAAAAAAATTTGTTTTATTGTTTATGCTTCGTTATGGTCGTTCCTGCTTACATTTTTCATTCCTTTTATTGGGTCTCTGTGCAGCTTTTGACATGAAAGCCTGCTTTCTTGAAAAAACATCCTTTTTTAAAATTTAATGGTTTATTATTTATTGTATTTTTTCCATTACCTTTTATCCCCCTTATACCTTCTTCCACCCCCCATCCTTACTTAGTTTCTTTTTTTTTCCAGTGTACAATTTTTATATTTAGGATTAGCCAGCTGGGTTCAGTTTCAGTGATCCCAGTTTTGTTGACAGTGTCCAAGGCATCTTAGTCAGGAGGAGGAAGTCGGACTTAGCCTTCTCTCTGTCAGACCTGATCAGGGGGTGGACCTTGGCCACATCGATATCATAGAGCTTATTCACAGCCTGTTTGATCTTGGGCTTTTTGGCCTCAGTATCCACAATGAACATAGTTTGTCTTCTATCTTCTTAAGGCCAAACTTGGTATTTGGGGGCGGGGTAGTCTTCCTGATGGCTCAGTGGTCAAACTTGTTTTTCCTGGGGACCCTCCTCCAGGAGGGATATTTAGACAGCCCTCAGAGCCCGGGCAGTGTCTTTGGCGGCCTGAAGCTGGGTGCGGTCACAAGGTGCGGTCACAAGGTGCGGTGAGAACGAGTGGGACTTGGGGGTCTTTTTTTGTGGCTGTGGACGCATTTCAGCATTGCATGTTTTGCCTTGCTGCAGGGCTTTTTTGCGTGTGGCTGTGGACACCTCTCAGCTTTGTGTTCTTTGCCCTTAAAGTGGTTGCTTTGGCTTGGGCTTTGGGAGAGGCAAGGACTTCCTTCATCGTTTTGGGCGCCATCTTCTTAAAAGGGTTCTTTTTTGGTTTTTGAGATTCTATGCTCCATGGTTTCCTCCTTCCTTTTAGTCTCTCTGGTTAGTGTGTCTTCTGCGAATGGTTGGCGTTTCTGTAAGTTTGGTAGTTTGCGTGTGTGATATACAGGCTCTGGAAGAATTTCTAGAGAATGGAGGCCGTTTGGTATTGAAAGGTGTGGTAAAATTCCCCTGTGAAATCATCCGGGCCTGATGGCTTTTTCACGGAGGAAAATATTATTTCCGTAATATTTTTCTCTGGTTTATCTATGGAAATTGTTGGATTTAAGCTTTCTAACTCTGTTGGAGTTCATTTTAGTAATTTGTACTTTTCCAGCAAATTTTCCCTAATTTTCCCTTCCGTGTGGATTTTCAAATTTGTTAGAAAAGAAGGTTACACAGTAATTGCTTGTGGTTTAAATTTTTTTCTATTTAAATGCTTATTTCTCCCTTGCCGTTTCTTATTTTGTATATTCGTGCTTTCTCCCTTTTTTCTTAAGTTACATAGTGCTTTACCTATTTTAATATTTTCACAAACTACACAATTTTGAATTGTTACTTAGATCTAGTTTTCTGTTCTCTTCCTCTAGTTTTATCTTTATTATTTCCTTTTGTTTGTTTGTTTACCTTGTTATTTTGTAGGTTATTTTTACCATGGGAATGAATGTATTGATTTTTATTCTTTCATTCTTATATTTAGTACAATGAATTTTCCTTTGCCACTTCCAATCATATGATGAAATATTATATATATGTAGTGCTTTCATTGTCATTATTTTTAAAATATTTTATTTATTTATTTTCAGAGAGAGGGGAAGGGAAGGAGAGAGGGAGAGAAACATGAATGTGTGGGTGCCTCTCATGTGTCCCCCACTGGGAACTGGCCTGCAACCCAGGCATGTGCCCCGACTGGGAATCAAACCGCAATCCTTTGCTTCACAGGCCGGCACTCAATCCACCGAGCCACACCAGCCAGGGCTCATTGTCATTATTTCTTTAAAAATCTATAATTTTAGTTGTACAATACCAGGAATGGTTGAATGGGAAGTTTTTTAATTTGTATGTGGAAGAGGGCCTTTCTGTTTTTTTTGTTAGTAAGTTCTAGTTTTATTACATTACGATTAAAGAGTATTATTTGTAATATTCCTATTTTATGGAAGTTAATGATATTTTCTTTGTGACCTAATATATGGCTATTTTTGGTAAATGTAGTGTGGGCAGTTTAGAAGAATGTGTATTCTCTAGCATCAGAGTGTAGACTTGGCTCAGTATCCTTAAGATTTACCCCATTGATTATGCTGTTTAAATCTTTTTATTTTTGGTTCTCCTAATATATCACCAAGAATGCTGTATTAAAGTGTGCTGTTATTAGTGTGTTTCTATCTGTGCCTTCTTGCATCTCTTATAGTTTTTGTTTTATAGAGGTGGTTGCTATGTCACATTCATGTGAATATGTATATTTTAATTTATTCCATCTTCATCTTGAATCATGATTTTAAGCATTAGAAAGCATCTGTCTTTGTAGGAATGCTTTGGGGCTTTAATTCTGCCTTGCCTTATCCCAGGATTGCCACCCCTACCATCTTTTTGGAAATATCTGCCTCGTGTACTGTGTCATATGATAACTCCGTTTAATTGTTCAGGAACTGCTCGATTGTTTTCAAAGTGGCTGCATCATTTTACAGTACCACGAGCCATATAAAGACTTTATTATCTCTACATCCTTCCAATACTTACTGTTTGAATATAGCCATCCTGCTTGATATGAAGTGGCATCTCATTATGATTTTGATTTGCATTCTCTTAATGATTAGTGATGTTGAGCATTTTTTCATGTGCTAATTGAGTATTTGTATATCTTCTTTGGAGAAACTTCTTTTCAGCTTCTTTGCCCATTTTTAATTGGGTTATTTGTCTTTTATTATTGGAGTGTAAAATTTTCTTTTTATATGTTCTAGATACAATCCCTCATCAGGTATGACTTGCATGAAATTTTCTTCCATTCTGTGGGTTGTCTTTTTACTTTTTTGATAGCATCTTTTATAGTATAATCGCTTTTAATTATGATGCCCAGTTTATCGTATTTTGTTAGTGTTTTTGATGTCATATCTAAGAAACCACTGTCTGATCCAAGGTCACAAGGATTATTTATCCTTATGTTTCCCTCTAAGTTTCATAGTTTTAGGTCTTAAATTTGGTCCTAAGTTTGGGACCAAAGACCTAAAGACCTAAACTTGGGTCTTAGGTCCATTTTTTAAAAATATATATTTTATTTATTTTTATTAATTTATTTTTAAAAGTTATTTATTTTTAGAGAGAAAGGAAGGAAAGGAGAGAGAGAAACATCAATGCGTGGTTGCCTCTCACGTGCCCCGCACTGGGGACCTGGCCTGCAACCCAGGTATGTGCCCTGACTTGGAATCAAACGGGCAACCCTTTGCTTCACAGGCCCGTGCTCAATCCACTGAGCTACACCAGCCAGGGCCATTTTAAGTTAATTTTTGTATATGGTGTGCAGGAAGGGGGGAACTTGTTTCTTTTCCTTGAGGATATCCAGGTGTCCCGGCAGTGTGTGTTGATTTGTTTAACCTCTTAGCATCTGATTTATTGTATTTTCCCCTCAGTACGTTTAAACCCAGCTATTACCTACACAGCATTGAGCTTTCACTATTCTCTTTAGCTGTCTCTTCTCCCATGTTTTTTAGTTGTAACTTTTCTACTCTTTCACAATATGCAGTAATATTACATTAGTCTTCCACCCTCAACTCCACCTTTCTTTTAATGTCTTCCATGTACACTTACATTATGTTAAAATGCTCACTGTCAACTTTGCTGATGTTTTCTCAGTCATCATTTGGTTGAATGAAGCTCATCCTGTAGTAGATTCCTCAGGAGGGGTAGTAAAATGCAGAAATTCTCTATGTTCTTATATGTTGAAAGCTTTTCTTTCTGTAGCCTTGATATTTGAGAGACAACTTGGTGAATATAAAATCCTTGGTTCACACTTACTTTTATTGATTTGATTTTTTAAAATTTAAATGCCAATTCTTTCTTGCCTTATACTTTGTATATTGGTGTAAAAATATCTGATGCTAGTCTAATTTTTTGGATTTGTAAATCATTTATTCTTGTTACTTAAAGGTCTGGGGGACTTTATCTTTGAAATCAGATAGTTTTTACTAAACTGTATTTCATAATTGATTGTGTAGGGTAATTTTCCCAAGTATCTGGTGAGCCCTTCAGTATGTAGATTCAGATCTTTTTTTTTTTTTTTTTTAATTTCTGGAAAGTTTTCTTGAATTACAGCTTTTAATATTAGTTCAGTTTTATTGTTAGTTTTTCTGCTCTGGGACTATAATAATACAAATATTATTCCTTCTTTATGTCTTCTCTCTCCCCTACTTACTCTCCATCTTCTCCTGCAAAATCATTTTCATTTTCTTGGTTGTTTTCATGACTTTCTTCAGTGTACCTTATTAAATTATCATTTGAGTTTATTCTGTCTCAGGCACCTTGTTATTTGTTTTTCGCTTCTGAGAGAACTGGCTTTTGTTTTATCTCTGAAGTAGTTTTAAAATTTCTGATCCAAGGTGAGTTTTTTTTGTTGTTTTTAAGTATCCTTAAGTGCTTCAGCTTGTTCGTATTGTGTTTGGGCTATAGATTCAGACTTTGTTTCTGCTTCAGGATTTTGGGGGGAGGAATTTCCCTCAGTTGAGAAACTCCTTTTCCACTTTCTTGTAAACACACGGGGATATCAGACTTTAAAATTTTTGCGTATCTCCTAAGTATGAAATGGTATCTTGTTTTAATTTTATTTTCCTGATTAGGTAGGGTTGGTTATCTTTTTGTATGTTTATTGGACATTTATGTTTCCTCTTTGTTGAAGACTCAAAGAATATAGCGGCTATTTACTGAGGTGAGGCCGATTTTGGAGGGAAGTCAGGAGTTTGTTCTTGGGCGTGTTTATAGCCTGCCTGAATCCTTTGTCTTGAGGCTTTTATCTCTCTCTTGCAGGCGGGAATCTTAGGGGAGAACTGGGAGGGTTTCAGCAGAATGTTCCATCAGATTTCTAGGTATGCCCTTTCAGGGTCATGGTCCCCACTGATTGGTCAGTGACAACAATGCAGGAAGGAATCTCTCATCGTTGCAGTTGGTTCTGGTGTTACCTACATGATTTTGCTACTTTTCTGTTATCTGCAGGGAGAAAGCCTGGGGAGGAGAGGTTTCCCTGGGGGTAAGTCCTTGTTTCCCCAGTTTTGCCCCCTGCCAGGCACTAGGAGCCTTCCGCCCTGGTTACCATCTGCACCTGGCTGTCAATTGCCGGGCTTGTAAATTGCTGGACCATTATGTTCAGCCATCGATCTATCTGTTTCTCTATTTCACTTGCCAAGGAATTTTCCTAGCTTGTTACCTTCCTGTCTCCGTAGGTCCTGGAGGAGGAGGAGCTATAACCATTGGATGTAGCAACATGGATTTCATTAGTGATTTTGACTGAGCAATTCGATGCAGTGGTGGAGTAGAAAGCCAGACTGATGAGGGCCCATGCAAGAGCTGGGAAGGCAGTTCTGTCTTTAGTTTTCTGACCTAACCTTTAGAGCATTTGCATCACCCAAAGCTTGCTGCTTTTTTTTTCAGCTTTGAGATATAATTTATATGCAATAAAATCCACCCATTCTGAGTAAATAGTTTGGATTTCAATAAAGCTAATTTTAATATTAGCAAAGGAGTATGTCCTAACACTTCTTTTTATCATGTAGTCAGTAAATCTCACTTTAAATATTTTCTCCCAAGTGACTTCCACCTTTCCCCTTTAATTCAGTAGTTCTATAGTTCCAAGACTAGCAGCATGGGCACCTGCATTGCCTGGGAACTTGCTAGAGGTGGGGCCCAGCCCTGGGGTAGGGCCCAGCAATGAGCCTTTCGGGTGATTCTGACACACACTAAAGTTTAAGAACCATTGCTCTAAGGTATGTCTCTGAGTGGAATTGCTGGACTGTGGAATATGCGTGTGCTCAACTTTACCAGGTGCTCTCAACCCCTTCCAAATGGGTTATACTTACGTGTATGTGTACGCAGCAGTGTGTGAGAGTCCGTGTGGTTCCACATCCTCATCAACATTCCGGAATTTTAAAAATTCTATTCCTAAAGCCATCAGTTCCTTTTAAAGATTCAAGTATATCTTTAAAAAAGTCAAGTCTGTGTCTTTTAAAATGTACTTATTTGGCATTATTTTAGGAAAAAATCAAAAGCAAGCTAAATGTTTAATCATGGTTCATTATGTTTTGATATACTTATCCAGTGAAAGGTAGCAGTTGAATACTATAACTGGGCATTGTAATTCTTATTATTTGACAATTTAAAAAGCGGGAGGTTCCATCAGATATTCTTAAACATTTTGACTGATTACATGAATTGTTTGTGTACACGGCAAAAGACAGGAGGGTAGTAGTGGTTGTACTCAGAAGGATTCTGACTCAGGGATCATCAAACTGTACTGCATTTGGTGTTTGGGGCCTGTTTATGTGTTGGAGGGGAGGAACTTGAGTTAAGGATGGTTTTTATATTTTTAAAGGGTTGTTTAAAAAAGATGCATAGAGACTGCATATGGCCTGCAAAGCCTAAAATAGTGACTGTCTGGCCCTTTGCAGAAAATGTTTGCCCACCCCCGATTTTATCATTTTATCCTTACAACATTGCACTAAAGTGGGTCCTATTATTATCTTCGTCATTTTACAGATGAGGAAACTGAGGCATAGTATGCCTAAGTGATTTTTTGGCCCACGGCATTCACTGTTTTTAGAGCAGGTTGCAGGCTCTTTCTATAAACTTGCTAATACTGTGTTTCTTTGCAGTGTAAAAAGCGGGTAGTGACTTACATGCCAAGAAAGGATGGCGCAGTCACAGTCCAAAGCATCTCCTCCCAAGGGGAAACAGAGGTGAGTAGTTCTTAGTTTAGCAGGGCGAGCTTGGATTTGAGGTGTACTTTGACTTTCAGTTCACTAGTATTCTTGTTACAGAACGGACTGGGGAGGGGGACAATGTACTACTATTGAATGGACCCCTTCTTTTCCCAGGGTCTTCCTGTACTAGTTTTACCTTGCCCGTTGCCAGGGAATTATAGCTCTCGATGTCAGAGATTGGTAAAAAGGAAGGGAATTATTTATTCAAAGGTTATACAGACTTAGAGTAATGACTTAATGTCTTCATTAAAGTCCCAACGTCCCTTAAACACCCACAAACACACATAGTGTGAAACATTGCAGGGAAACACTTCATTCCCTGCTTTGCCCATTCCAGGGTACCACATCTCACAAAAAGAAATAGAAGTTCATGGCTCTGGTAGCCCCTGGTTCTTGCCAGTAGTCTGTGGTTGGCTGGCAGTCCTCCCTCAGTTCCCAGCACCATCAGCTGTGTCGCCACCCCAATCTCCAGTTCTTAATCCAAACCCGTGTGGCACCTTCTTGTGGCCCACCAGCAAGAGTCCTTTCACCCCTTTCCTTCCTGTAGTGTCTTTCCTGTATTCTTCCAAACTGCTCAGAGAGAGTTCTGCATCGCTGCTACATCTTGCTTTCCAGTTTCCTAAGCTGCATGGCAAAGGGAGCCCCAAAGCCATGTGGTCCCTCCTTTTCTCTCCAAAGCCACATGGGCCCCTCCTAGCATGGCAGCCGTGCTGGATTTAAATCCTGGTGCCAGTCTTCCTCTGTGGGCCCCATTTTCGACTCCTCCCCATTTCCAAATCCTCCCACAATAGGCTACAACTGCCAGCATTTCCATATTTCTCCAGCTTTTCTGGGCTGCCATATGACGCCATGGCCTGGAGCAGATCATTTCCAAGCTCTCATGCAGGCCACTGTAACCAGGGAAGTTGCCTCCCAGTTACATCCTGGGTAGAAGTCACCCTCCCATCTGCCTGGCTCAAAGCAAGGCCACAGCTATTTAAGGTATCGGTGAAACCAGTTAAAACTTACCGGTATGTTAAATGACCATGCCTGAGGTTATTTGCAAAACTCTTGCTGTGCAGAACAACTCTCAATGGCCCTGCTCCATGCGTCCCATCTCCCAGTTCAGACTTGTGGGGGAGAGGACATCCTACATTTTAAAAATATTTCCTGCACACCCTGAGTTCTGGACCCCATTACAAATCCCTATTTGGGGTCTCCCCTTGCTACACCCTGCTACATCATTAAGAATTTATTTTAATGAGCTCATGGGATGTGGTTATTCACAGTAGGTGCTTTACAGTTTTAGGGGTTGCATTTCTAGGAGCTGACAGCTTTCTTTAATTGTGCCAGCAGCTAGAATTAATCAATAATAAAAAGAAATACAGTGGCCATAGCCAGGGAGAAGCGAGAAACATCTTTGCAAGTGTTCCATGTTTTTGTAAAAGTTCTAAGTGGTTTAGAACTTTTCAGAGTGTATTTTATTTCATTTTTTGATAATCAATATATTTAAAGAAATTGGGAGTTAGAAAATTGGGAGTTTCCTATTTCTTCATGGCAGAATAATAGAGCTTTATGTAGCTCAATTGTAGTGCAACTCGCTTCTTCCCAAGTTGGTAGTATGAAGCATGTATATATAATTAGATTGCAAGAATTCAACTAGTACTTATTGTCTATCTGCTACTGGCAAGTTCTGGGGCTACAAAGGCAAATACAAAACCGTAGGAAGAGCCCTCCAGGGCAAGCTTGCAGGCTGGTTGGAGAAATTGACACCATAGCAGGTGGGAAAAGTGTTGTGCAACTAACTGAGAGAAAGTATTGTGGATCCACAGGCAAGGAATAATTCTGCTTTTGTGGAGGGGATATACTAAGAAAGTCTAAAAAAAAGAGATGAGATTTTAGCTGGCCATTTAAGGATGAGTAGAATTTCTAAAGGCAGAAAGAGAGAAGAAAAGTATTCCAGTTAGCCTTGGCCAGTTGGCTCCCTTGATTGGAGCATTATCCTGTACACCAAACGGTTTCGGGTTCCATCCTTCTATCCCTGGTAGGGTCATGTATGGGAGGCAGCTGATTGATGTCTCTCTCTCTCTCTTTTTCCCCCTCCTTTCTCCCCCCTTCCCCTAAAATCAGTAAATATATCTTCGGGTGAAGATTAAAAAAAGAGACAGTATTCCAGTTAAGGGGGACAACAGGAGCAAAGGCACAGAGCTGGGCCTCCTAAAAAGGACCATAATTACATACACAAGGCAGACCAAGACTTTTCATGTTAATATGACTTGGCCATTGTGCTTGGTTTCATTATGGATCTACAATGACTGATCAATCATTTCTTCAACAATTTTAATTTGGAGTTTATAAGGCCAAATTGTAATGGGGAGGAGCTTTAAAAAAGGGAGAATATAAAGAAGCAATTGTTTTTCAACATGGAGGACATCACTTGTCATTTCTTGTCACCCTTTTGTGGTAGGCCCTGGTGAGGAGGCACAAAAGAACCTGTCAAACTTAGTGCTGGGGTGATGATATAGCTGAGGAACCCAAGTACCACTAGGGGCTTTTGCATTGGAGGAGACATGATCTTATTATCCTATATATCAAACAAGTAGGCCCTCTGCCCCTGGGGAAGGCCCTAACTCCCTCTTCCCATGCTGTTTGCCTTGGAATGAAAACTGTCAGAGCCTTTGCTCACAACGTGTGCAGAATGGAGAGACCCACGGAGAATTGTCTCCCGAGACTCCTTGGGTCTCTTTTTTCCTTTGGGAGAAGCAAAAATGGTAGCAACCATCCCAGCAATCCCCTTCAGAAGAAAGGGGCTCTATACAGTAAAACTGTGAAGTGAAATATCATATCAAAGTGTATTCAAGGTGAGGTATGGACTAAAGTAAGAGATTAAATAATATTTGGTCCAGTCTGCAAAACCTCAGCCTCTGGCTGCTAGCTGTTCTCCCTAGCAGTGGAAGAAGTTAAACCTTCCAGAAAGTCCTCAGAGGCTCCGGTTGCTTTTTGCTGGAATGATAAGGTACAGCCAGCTGGATGACAGAGCTTCGGCTTCAGCTATATGACACACTTGCCAGTACATCTAGCTTGGTGACTTTATAAGGACATATTGCCAAGTCCAGTATATAAATCCCAGTATTATGTGGGGAAGCTGAGTCTGTCTACTTTCCTGCAGGGAATACACAGGCAGGTCACCAAATGAAAAAGTGTTTTTACTCATGGTTCTAACCCGGAGGCAGCTTCTGAAGAGGGAGTGATAACAAAAGCCGCAAGGGCAGCAAGCGGCTTCATTGACTAGAAGATACTAAACCCTCAGGGAGGAGATGGAAAGATTGGACAGGTCAGATGTGAGGAAATGTCTCCAGGGGCAAAATTGAACTTCATTGTGTTCCAGACTGTGGGGCTCCTCTCTCTTATCCTGAAGTCTAATAAGTAACTGGGACCCACTGGTTTCTCTGGATGCAGAAGTCTTCCTCCTCAGTGAGAATGAAAGCCCGGATGTTGACAGTGCTGAGGTGTTAGAGAAAGTAGCTACAGAAAGGATGTGCTGTCCCTGGAGAGGATTTTAGCGGCATAAACATACACATTCACCAAAGTTACACATCTTTCATTTCATATATAAGGGATTAACTGTATTTTTAGGACTATAAGATGTACCGGACCATAAGATGCATCTAGGTTTTAGAGGAGGAAAATAGGGGGAAAATTTTTGAAGCAAAAAATGTGGTAAAATATTTAATAACCTGAGACCCCGCCCACCACCGCCCACAGCAAGCCAGGTAAGCTGCATTTGGACTATAAGACGCATCCCCTTTCCTCTCAAATTTGGGGGGTGCGTCTTATAGTCTAAAAAATATGGTAGGCCTGGGAGAGAAGGGCAACTTACCTGTGTTGGTAATATTTATGGGGGAACTAAGCATGAGGTTTTCAAGTTTTAAGCCCCTCTTCTCCCCCCACCCACCCTCCACACACTGTTTAAAGACATATTTTTTGCTCCTTGATATAGCCTTAGTAGAGAGAATAGACAGTTGGAAAAACTGGGGTCAGTTTTGGGGCTGAGTTTGAGTTTTTGTGGCCTTAAACTCTTAGAATCTAATTTAATTTCAAAGGTTATGTTCAATTGGCCAGAGATTCTCCTACATATTTATTAGTATGAATCTAGCCCTCCTTCTGCCTTTTTCCTTTCCTTTTTTTTTTTTTTAATCTTTACCCGAGGACAGTTTTTTTTCCATTGCTTTTAGAGAGAGAGAGGAAAGGAAAGAGAGAAGCATCGATTCATTGCCCTTCTTCCTTTTTTTTTTTACCTGACCATTGAGCCTGATGAAAGCTCTTGCTGACCAGTTTTTTCGCCAGAACTTTGCTGTCAGCAATATTCCAGAATGGAGTTTGCTCTGTACCTAAGCTGGTCCTCCTCCCAACAGGATGGGAGTGTTCGGCCCTTTTTAACATGGGATATATTAGTTCAGATGGAAAGAGAGTGCTTGTTGAATGGGGGCAAGCGTAATCAGAGCCATCCATGGACAATTTAAAATGTGGATATAGCAAATTGATGAATTTAATTCGAGTGGAAGAAACAGTAGAAAACAAATCATTTATCTGGGTAAGTCATATTAGGACAAATAGTTTATTGGAAGTTTTTTTTTTTTTAATTTTGAGTATTTTTTAATTTTAATTATTGTTCAAGTACAGTTTTCTGCCTTTTACCCTATCCCAGCCCACCCCCCAGCCCTCCCCACCTCCCTCCCATTTCCATCCCCCCTTTGTTATTGTCCATGTGTCCTTTATACTTGCTCCTGCAAACCCTTCCCCTTTTCACCTGAAATTCCCTCCCCTCTCCCCTCTGGTCACTGTCAGCCTGTTCTCTATTTCAGTGAATACTTAATTGTTTTTAAATGAACTAAACTCTTCTGTGTTTGTTTATAGGTCTTTCTCACCGGCACCTAGAAAGTCTGAACACAACAAGCAAAGATACTCTCATGGGTATCATGGCTATGGCTATAGGAAGGATCTGAACAGATCCACCACCTGGAGAATGTACAAGAATGGACAGAGTAGACCAAGGAATTCTGCTCCGGAAAATACGTATTACCGATTCCATAACCATAGAGCACCTTTTCCAAACACAAGAAGCTCTGTAGACCAATTTCATTTTTATAAGCCTTACCAAGCATATTCACCAGGAAGAGAGGATGGTAACAGGTATATGCCCAGATACTCGGAAGGTGTACACTACCCAGAGTATCAGTGGGATTATTTTCCTCAGCACATGCGAGGAAGGTCCATTCATTATGACTACAGAGGTAGAAGAGGCGGAAAAAGAGGGAAATCACCTCAGCGGTCCACAGAAGATTCTTCTAGATTTGAAGGAAAGCAGCATGAGGATGAGCTGAGGTCCCAGAAGATACGAGATGAAAAATATTCTCACTCTCTTAGAAGAGGTCCTGAAGATTTTGAGAAAAGGAGCTTTTTTCAGAAGAGGTATAAGAAAACATTAAACCTGGGTAATCTGATATAAAGCCTCAAGTGAGGAAGTGTGTTTACTTTATAGTTGAAGATAACCACCTTGAAAAGCTTTTTTTCTGAAAAGAGAAAAAGCATTATCATGTGGTCAGTTCAACTGGGAGGAGTGAAGTATTTATTTTAGAGTAAATTATGTTGAAGTTACTTGTCTCTTTAAAAGTAAGATGGCATTTCCTCTCTAACGAATCTCTATAAGTTGGCTTGAAGGATTATAGGTTAACTTTACCCACTGCATTCTGCATTTAAAGCCATGCCACCCAACATGCTACACATATAAATTCTCACTGTATTCTCTGTAGTGCAAGTATAAACTGTTTTATGTCACCACAGGCATACTGAGGATCGTGACTACAGAAGATACGGATACCCGACAAAAAGATATCCAGGCGTGGAGAGGCATGATAACAGAGAGCCATCCAGAAATGCTCAGTGGAAGCCGAGGTATCCCCCTTCACCTCACCAAGAGAACAAAGCTCAGCGTAGCCCTAAGTGCCAAACTCATCGACGTGCTCAGAAGAGACTCCCAGAGACCAGTTCAGCAACCGAGGCATCCAGTTACTCTCTCCACAAACGCCGCAAAACCTCGTATGGGGACCAGGACTTGTCTGATGGAAAAACTCGGAAACGCTCTAAGGAGGAAGATAAAAAGAATACTTCTCAGAATGACAATGGAAGACGGAGACAGACTGAAGATGGGAAAGACAAAAAACCTTTAAAATCATCTAAGAAACACTACACCGCCTCTGCTCATTCAAATGAAAGTGTTGGTTTCAGAACCTCTAATGGCAAACAGAAGATGAAAAGAAAGAAAGAAAGGGGTGGCAGAAAAGAGAGCAACTCCTCCAGTAACCAACTTGATGAAAGTAAAGCTTCTGATATGAAACCTTCATCCACTAGTCTTAGGAAGAAATCACTTATAATTACAGTACATAAGAAGAAACCATTGGATATGTCCAGGTACTATCTTTGTTTTTTCTTAACGCTATTTAATAAGTGTTTCTGCCATCTTTATTCAGAGCTTTGAAAATGAAATGAATAGTGTGTCTAGAGTCTGTCAAGGGGGAGGGATTGCCTAGATTTTTAAAAAGGCCCTGTAATGAGGATGAATCTCATAATCAGGCATATGGGGTGATCTCATGTCTGCTTGTTTCCACGTCATATCTCAAGGTACTTTTGGGGGCAGAGCATTCTCAGGAGCTGTTCTCCTCATGAATGTGCATGTTATTAGGCTGCCAGATGTTCCGTGTCCAGGGATAGGCTGGGTGGAGTTCACAGAGACTTATTCCCTGCTCAGTTTCTCGGAGCCTGTTTTCCTTGTTGCCTGCAATTCTGAGAATTTTTGACCTGAAAGGGACTTCAGCAGTCCCAGCTTTTATAGCGCGGGAGAGTGAGGCTCTGAGACAGGAAGCGGCTTAAGTCAGTGCCTTGGTCTCAAATCCACGTGACCCCTTGTGACTCAAGGAGACTGGTGACTTCACATGGTTCTTGCTTCTGTCTCAAGATGAGTAGCTCTCAACCTACTGGAATCTCCTAGGTAGAGGAAATTAGGCTAGAGGCAAGAAAGAGGCCCATGTATAAGACATTTGATTCAGCTCATAATGATTCTCTAAAAAAAATAGACTACTGTCAGTATAGGTTATATTCTCCTAAAATGGTTTGTGTACTTTCTTGTATTATAAATATTACCTCTGTCTGTGAATTCTAAGAATAATAAGGCACTGCAGTTTGCTGTGTCAGTTAAGTCTGTTCATGACTTTAATCCATTACCCGTACGTGAATAAAAAAAAAGTGATGCACCATGTTGATTTGGTGCATTTATGTTCACAGTTGACTCATATATCTGTATTTGAATCAAAGACAAGAGTGATGGACCACATTGTTTGGTACATTTGTGTTCATATTTGACATATCTGTATTTGAATCAAAAACAAAAAAAATAAAATCCAAGGTGAGGATGTGACAGAGAATTAGGTAAACCCAAAGTCCTTTTTTTTTTTTTTTAAACAAAATATATTTTGTGCCCTGGCTGGTGTAGCTCAGTGGATTTGAGTACTGGCCTGCAAACCAAAGGGTCTCTGGTTCGATTCCCACTCAGGGCACATGCCTGGGTTGCAGGCCAGGTCCCCAGTGGGGGGTACATGAGAGGCAACCACACGTTGGTGTTTCTCTCTCTCTCTCTTTCCTTCCCTTCCCCTCTCTCTAAAAAGAAATAAATAAAATCTTTAAAAATATATGTGTGTGTGTGTGTGTGTGTGTGTGTGTGTGTGTGTGTGTGTATATATATATATATATATATATATATAATATAGTTTATTTTCTTAAAGTTAGGTACTCCAGTCCCCTTCCCTCATTTTTTATACTTGAAAAAATAATTTTTTCAAAGATTATATTTATTTATTTTTAGAGAGAGTATAAGGGAGGGAGAAAGAGAAGGAGAGAGACATCGATGTGAGAGAAAAACATCAATCAGCTGGCTCCCATGCACGCCCCAACTAGGAACCAAAACCTCAGCCCCAGGCATGTGCCCGGACTGGGAATCAAACCAGTGACCCACTGCTTTGCAGGATAGTGCTCAACCAACTGAGCCATACCAGTCAGGGCACAAAAATATTTTTCATATATATGCATACATTTTTTAAAGTATATTTTATTTATTTTTAAAGAAGGAAAGAGGGAGAGAAAACATTGATGTGTGAGAGAAATATCTGTTGGTTGTCTCTCACATGCCCCTAACTGGGGACCTGGCCCACAACCCAGGCATGTGCCCTGACTGGGAATTGAACCAGCAGCCTTTCTGTCCTCAGGTCAGCACTCAATCCACTGAGCCACATCAATCAAGGCTACATGTGTGTATTTGTATATGCATAGAAAGCATTTACAAATATTATTATAGTACAGAAAGCTAGGCAAATAGAGGTGGGAAAATAACTCATAATCCTACTCTCCTAGGACAATTTAATTAATATTTTAGTGTAGCTCTTTTTGTTATTTTTCTGTGTGTATGTTATGTGGTTGTATAATACTATATTAATACATTTGTATTCTATTTCATATAATATTTCTTAAATCATTTTGTGCTACTATATTTCCTACTAGTTCTTAATCTTTTTATTTTGTTTTATTTTATTTATTTATCTTTAGAGGGGAAGGGAAGGAGAGAGGGAGAGAAAGATCAATGTATGGTTGCCTCTCGTGCATCCCCTGCTGGGAACTGGCCTGCAACCCAGGCATGTGCCCTAAACGGGAATCGAAATGTGATCTGGTTCGCAGGCCTGTGCTCAGTCCACTGAGCTACACCAGCCAGGGCTAGTTCTTAATCTTAAGAGCACAAAGCCTTCTGTAAGCATCAAGTTTAGGGATGTTAAGCTCCTTCTCTTTCCAATATCATATCATGAAAATGTTCAAATATACAGAAAAGATGAAAGAATTATGCAGTGAGCATCTATATACCCACCACCTAGAGTCTACAATTAACATTTTATTCTGCTTTTGTAATCACATATCTATCTCTTCATTTGTTGTTTCATCTTATTTTTCAATGTATTTCAAATTGAATTGCAAATATCAGTAGTTAGCCTTTAAATGCTAGAGTATTTACTTTTTGTATAGTTTTTTCTTCTGAGATAAAATTACGTAAAACCAAATTGCCAAAAAATCTTGAATTCTTTTGTAAAAGTCATGCTACCCCCACATTTAAAATGAAGTGTTTTCTTTAAAAAAGGATTTTATTTATTTATTTGCAGAGAGAAGGGAAGGGAGGGAGAAAGAGAGGAAGAAAAGCACCAATATGTGGCCACCTCTCCTGTGTCCCCCACTGGGGACCCGGCCAGCAAACCCAGTCATGTGCCCTGACTGGGAAACAGTGAACAGCAGCCCCGTTCCAGTTCCCAGGCCAGCGCTCAATCCACTGAGCCACACCAGCCAGGGTGAAGTGTGTTAAATAAGAGTGCTAGAAATAGCAGTTTTGAAGGGTTTTATGTTAAAGATACTGAACCCAATTAGTTTTATAATTTGACATCGAGAAATGGCAGCTTGATGTTCATCATGATCACGAAAGTGAACTTCCCAAAATTGAGGCTGCCATATCTTTTGTTTGAATTTATAAAACTCATTTCATGAAATTTTATGACCTGTCAGCACATGTTTGAATTCCCTGACAAGGACCTGAACGGCGGCTTGTGTAATAAAAAGCCTCCCCTGCAAATGCTTTCTATTCAAAAACCTGAAGACTGAATAACGTAATAAATGCATGCATTTTTTCAGTGTGGTAAACCATCCTGCTGAACAAGATCTTTCTGATGATAATTATTTATTGATTAATGAGCTGTGGAAGAGTTTTCTGGGGTTGGATTGAATTATATATGGACTGATAAAATATCCATGAAACAAAGGTAGTTACATACAAACCTTAGTAAAGGCATGTTCTCAACTATTGCCATCAATTAGCTTTTCCTCTGCTTGAAAAGACTTCAATAATCCTAGGGTGAACAGAAGAGAACACTCTAGAGAGTTTATTTGTTGGTTAAAATCTAGAGAGTTTATCCTTTTTTTTTTTTTTTTTGGAAAGACTAAGATGGTTTATTATGTGCCTTTGTTTGCTTTCTTAGCTTTGGTAAAATATTGACATATGTAGTTAAAAACATATGGCTGTCACCCTGCCTGATGTGGGTTAGTGGGTTGGGCACTATCCCACAAAGCAAAAGGTTGACGGTTCGATTCCTGGTCAAGGCACATGCCTAAGTGGTGGGTTCAGTCCCCTGTCCGGGTGTATGCAAGAGGCAGCCAATCAGTGTTTCTCTCTCGCATTGATGTTCCCCTCCTTTCTTTCTTCTCCCTTCCCCTCTCTCTAGAAAATAAATAAATAAAAGGAGAAAACATATAGCTTTCACCTAGTGATTTTTTTAGGTTCTAGTTTGTATCTAGAACAGCAGTGGATAGAGACTTGCTTGAATGAATGTTCACTGCATAGTTAACGCTTCTGTTAACAAAGATCATATTCTGAGTGACCCACTCAGTCAGAAACTGCATTATCGGAGGTAGAAGTTACACATAACTCATAATTATCTGTCTCAGAATGCAATAGGGAGCCACAACAGGAAAAATTGTACGAAAGTTATTATGAACCCCAAACACCCAGCTGTATATATCTGAAGCCTTGGGGCAGATGAAGGGAGTTCTGGTTTAATGTTGGGCTGAGTAGGTGAGAGCCTGACCGTTGATCAGACTTGGAAGGAAGTGAGAGGGAGGAGCAGGGGGTGCCAGTCTCTGGAGATGAAAAGCGGGTGCTGATGGACCTGAGGCTTCTCTCACCTCTGCAGGTGTTGGTACTAGGAAATCTAGGATACGAAGGTTGTCTAGCAAAGTTGCTGTTGGACTGAGTGTATGAGCCTCTGTTGCATTGAGTCCTTTTGTTTCCCACTAAAAAGACACAGAGGGCCTCCTTACCCTCATCAGATCTTTCCCTGTTCTAAGAGGCTTTCCTCCTTCTGAAAGGGGATGCGTCCCAGAAGACAGTGGAGCCTTGATGCTCTCAGGAAAGGGCTGCTCTGTAGGTGGAGGAACAATGTAAAAAAACATAGCAAGGACTGAAGGAAGGGAACCTAATCACACGAAGTTTACGTGTGATAGGTACTGTTCAGCTGGAGGCAAAAATAAGCAGGGTGGAAAGATTTTTGTGATGTACAAGTCTGCTGCTATCTTACTGTTATGTATCACAAAAGTAAGGTTTCTATCTAAAATATTTTTCATGCATTTTTTTTTATCAATGTATGGTTGCTTCTCATTCGTCCCCTGCTGGGAACTGGCCCCTGCTGGGAACTGGCCTGCAACCCAGGCATGTGCCCTGACTGGGAATCAAACCGTGGTCCTTTGGTTCGCAGGCCCGTGCTCAATCCACTGAGCTACACCAGCCAGGGCCATTTTTAAATCAAACATTAATTGAGAGAAGGCTCCCTTTCACTCCTATCACCATAGCTTCTCCTCATGTCTCTTAGGGGTCCTAGTATAGAGAGGTGAACATTGTGTTTGGGGTTGGGGTACATAGGTTTTTAATCCTCTCGTGGGTCACTGAGCAAGAAGCTCTGTGACATTTGGCAGGTCACCTGGCTATGTCTTTTGGGGCCCAAATTAACCTGCATTTCCTCCCGGTTATATGAGTCTACTTCAATTGGCCAATAACTACTGAAGCTGAGTTGATAGGCTCATCACTGGATTCTCTATACTTTTATGTATAGTTGAGATTCTGCATTATTAAAATAGGAAATATTTCAAGTTTTGGAAATACTTCAATTTTAAATAGCTGTAAATGAAGTAAAAAATTTTAAGTACAAAGTAAGCCAAGAAAGTTAAAAAAACAAAATTAAATTGGCCTCAATTAGAATTTTGAAGTCAGTCATCTTTTTAGCTGAACCTTTCATTTCAAATGGTCCAAATCATTTACCATTTATCATTTATTCATTCAGTGGGTATTTTTTGAGCACCGACCCTGTGAGACAGCCTGTTAGGATAACCTGGGGCTGTAGATGGGTACAGGATTAGTTTTCTCCTCTGGGCTTGCAGACAATAAGGCCGTGTTGGTAATACATGGGATCTTGGGTCGGGGGATTTAGGGAAGGCCTCTTTCGGGACTTACAAGTGAGCTAGGCTTCAGAGGTTATGGTGTGTTTTAGACACATAACGACAAGATATTTTATGTTCATATGTTAACAAAGGCAGAAACCACACACAGGAACTTTGAGCTGCGTGCCTTTGAGCAGTAGGTAAAAGGGAGCAGAGGTAGAGGAGGCTGCAAAGGTGGGGCTGCCGCACTGCCAGCCTGGTCTGACAGGATGAGCTAATAGGAGAGGACAGGTTGGCTTGGTTCTGGCTGCCAGGGGACTGTTGGCAAGGCCAGTTAGGGGACTTCTGTGAAATAAGTAATGACATACTGAGTTAATGGACTAGCAGTCTCCCTCTTTTCCCTCAAGTCCAAAAATTCTAAATGTGTGTTCTTAGGAAGACAGGAGCAAAGTAATAAATGGGAAAGTGCATTATGAACTATTGGATACTGTACAAAATGTTTGCTATTTTTGGAAGAAAACTAAGAAAACCTTTATGTGTTGCATGGCTTTGTTATTATTTTAAGCTTCCAGAGGACAGGATTTTGGTTGTTGGGTTTTTTGTTACTGTTGTTTTGCCATGCAGTTGGGGTTTTGTTTTTTGTTTTTTTTTTTTGATGTATCTTAGTTGTGTGTAAGTGGAAATTCAGGTTTAATGTAGCTTCTTATGTTTTCTTAGTTATTAGTGCACAACACTCAGAATGTCAGAAAATATCCTTAAGCAGAGAGAGAAAATGGGGGAGGGGTTGAGGACAGAACCGAAGAACCTGGAAGGTTTAATCAGACCACTTTAGAATATAGATGTTTGGCTATATTTAAATTTTTTTAACTACCTAAAATTCATCTCAAATGAGAACAACCTGGTCTTTTCAGCTTAACTGTTGTGTTGGGTTATTTCCTGAAATTGTTAACTTGTATTAATAATAAATAGTAAAAAGGAAAATTTGAACTAGTAGGAGATTAAATTTGCAAACGTAAAGACCTAAGAACATTTTTTATTCTCAAGGTTCAGGAAGGTTTGTCATATAGCAAAAGTATAATTGTTTTTAAGATTTTATTTATTTATTATTTATTTTTCAAGAGAGGGGAAGGGAGGGAGACAAGAATAGGAGACAAACATTCAGTGGTTGCGTGTGCCCCATTCGGGGACCAAACCTGCAGCCCAGGCCTGTGCCCTGACCAAGAATTGAGCCAGTGACCTTTCATTTTGTGAGACAATGCCCAACCCACTGAGCCACACCAGTCAGGGCAAAAGTATAATTGTTTTTTTTTAAATATTTTATTTATTTATCTTTAGAGGGGAAGGGAGGGAGAGAGGGAGAGAAACACCAATGTATGGTTGCCTTTTGTGCATCCCCTGCTGGGAACTGGGCTGCAGGGAACTGGTCTGCAACCAAGGCATGTGCCCTGACTGGGAATCAAACCGCGATTGTCTGGTTCGCAGGCCCATGCTCAATCCACTGAGCTACACCAGCCAGGGCTTAATTGTTTTTAAAAAGCTAAAATTTCAGGCCCTGGCCAGGTAGCTCACTTGCTCAGAGCATCATCCCCATACACCAAGGTTAATGGGTTTGATCCCCAGTCAGGGCACATATAGGAATAATAAACCAATGAATGAATAAATAAGTGGGATAACACATCTATGTTTCTCTCTCTCTCTCTCTCTCAAAATGAATAAACACTTTTTTTAAAAACTAAAATTTTAGATTATACTATTTTCATGGCAGTGAGATAACCCTAAGATAAATTTTTTAACTGGTAGCAAGTTTAAACACTAAAATTTAAGGAATTGAAGAAATACAGCTTCAGTGTATATACCACATTACTCCTATGGATTGAGGGTTGGGCATGAAGTGGGGATAACAACTATGCCAATAATAATAAATTACAAATAAATTGTAAATTACCGGGAGCCTCTATCAGCTTGCTTCCTCTTGGGAGGAACTGAAACTATAATAACAACTTATCAACTATTGTCTTCTTATGGATGGATCATTTTTATAGTTGTATTGAAACTATAAAATACAACTTAGAAAATTTTATTTTTCTTTTGTAAATGTTTTTAAAGCGATGGTTTTGGGGAATATGGCAGGCTTTCTGTACCATTAAAACCCCTTTAAGCAGAGAGCGTTTGTAGTGTTGTGTTAGTGGAGGTTGTTAACAGGGCCAGTCTGACTTCCAGCTTTTTATCACTAACTGTCTCTTAGCTAGTTATCAGACACACAGTGGGAAGCTTGAAGCAAATTAGGAGGAAAGAAGGGAAGTGGATCTTCTCATGAAAGTCTTCTAATGAACCAAGGAACCCATAGCAGCGGCATCAACTTGCTGCATAATCCCTTTTCCATGTTTCTGCCTTGGCAGGGAGTCATCTCCCCAGAGCCGGTTTGAGAGCAGGGAGCACACAAAGTCAGATGGAAGCCTTTCCTCTGATAGGTCAAAAACAGGCACTTCAAACCATCTTGTTAGAGGAGTCATTAAAGTTTTTCAATGAAAGGAATGTCCATAAGCCCCTCATAACCCGGGAGCAGTTTTGGATGTATAGCTATCACGTGCCTTAAATAAATAAGTAAATCTGTGCATTCCTATAACCACCCAAAATGTGTCCATCTGACTGGGTGTTGTTATGTGAACAAGTATCATTTTTTTCCAGTGGTATTACTGTTATTTATTAATGAATCATTTGTTTATTTATTTTATTCATTTTTTGAGTAAGGAAAGGTTTACTGATGGAGAAGACTCCAACCAAGATAGTGGAAGCTGTGCTGCTGTTATTTAAAACACATTTCCAGTTTCTCTCTTGGATGTATCTTCAGAGCCTGTGACAAAGAACTCTGTCAGTTGTAAATTTTAATTCTTTGGACAGTGAACTTGATTTTTGGCAAGAGCCAAAAGCTATTTAGAGTTAAGTGTGGAGGAGTAAGATGGGTATAAGCTGGTTAGTGCCATTTTGGGTTCAAAATGCAGTATAAATATAAAATAATGAAACGTTTTCTTCTGGTGAATCAGCTGCCTCCAGACAAAGAATTGAAGGTAATTTTAAACAAGAGCAGCATTCTTGGACTAAGATATAAGTTTCCCAGTATGGCACTTGGAAGGATTATGTTCATGTGAATGCTTGACCTCTGGGATATAAAGCAAGACAGTCAAAACATCCATTGTCTCAGTGTCACTCATAAGTGCAGGGCAGTCTTTAAAGAGCCCTACACTTAGCCTGTAGGGCTTTTTAAAGATTAAACGAGATGATGTTTGTAAGCTCTAAGCCCCTGTGTTTGGCATATGGTAAGCCCTCAATAATTATTAGCTATATGTCATAATAATGGCTTTATAGTGGTCCCTAAAGGTGAGGAGAGCTCTTCATGAAAGTTACAAAGATTCAGAAAGCATTGAAGGGGTAAGGTAGTTGGGTTTATATACTAAATGGTAGCATTTCTTTAAGGATATATTTAGGGTAAACACTATAATTAGTTATAATGATCATAACTTTGCTAATAACTGAGACTGTTTTCTGAGAGTTTGGTGAGACTTTCTAAGTGATTAAATTAGTGTCAACAGAATTTGATTTCAAAATACAATTCTAACCTTCTCATTACTGATTCAGAGTTACAAGGATTTCTGTGAAGTCAGACAAGTTACTATGTTTGATACCAGCCTTTAAAGGGTGGTAGTATTTTAAGATAAAATAAGCTTGCTGGATTTACAGTTTTATGGACATTTGGGAGTAGAAAATAATCTAATTGATTGTGTTTACATATGGAGTGTATTTAATGCCTAGCTGTATTTTTTGAAGTAAAAATTGTCTAACTTAAGATTTCAAGGATCTTATTAAAGTGACAAAGCCCTGGCTGGTGTAACTCAGTGAGTTGAGCACGAGCCTGTGAAGCAAAGGGTTGCCCGTTTGATTCCCAGTCAAGGCACATGCCTGGGTTGCAGGCCAGGTCCCCAGTAGGGGGCATGTGAGAGGCAACCACACATTAATGTTTCTCTCCTACTCTTTCTCCTTCCCTTCCCTTCTCTTTAAAAATAAATAAAATATTTAAAAAATAAAGTGGCAAATATTTAACGATCTCCGATTTGGAAAGAACTCAAAACCATGCATCTATAGCTCTTCTACTCATACATGTTTTATGGCATAGAATTTAGTGGCTTAATCATAAGGAAAGATAAACATCATTTTAGTTTTATAGCTCTATTCATTTTAATAAGTTTTTTCTCAGAAAATAGTTTCAGATTTAGCTGAACATTTACAATTTATTCTAGGGTTGCTTCTTTCAAGATAGAGAGAGAGGTGTCAGCTGATTTGTCTGCTGTTGGCAGGAGAAATGAGGACATGGAAACAGCGCTTGAACAGCTTGGCTCCACTGAGAATACCGAAAACAAAAGTGAAGAAGATTTTGCTCAGGAAATCATAACTGTAATCCATCAAGTTAAAGGTTGGTGTATTTTGCACGTACATTAGGAATAAGACAAAAACAATGTACTAACTTTTCACAAGATACAGGAAAATATCCGTGAATTGTAATAGTAATTAATATTTCACTATAAAGTAGATCATTAATTAGAAAATGTGTTGAAAGTAGAAGTTACTAAGTCAAGCCTAGTTGGGGTTTTTAATTACTATTTTCAGAGTACTAGATGCTCAAGGGAACCACGACACCTAAGCTCAGTTGTTCTTTATATGTAGTTCCAATAACCTGGTGCTTCAACTCACAGTCGATTAGAAATCAAAAGTTACAAAGGGAGAGGTTGACTGCTGTGAAAGGGAAGTGTACTGAGAGTGGCCAGAAGCAATAACTGATAAGAGAACGGGAAGGAGGAAGCCACAAAAACCAGATAGGAAACTCAAGAAATCTTGTAGTGTAGGTCATCTGGTGATACTCTTCATGCCCCTGGGGGAATTATGGGAATTTAAGCCAGAAGGGTGATGCTAAGCAATCGATAAGACTCTAGTTATGATATTAGGAAGTTGCTTAATAAATACTTTGAAGATTTGCATTGAGTTGTTTTGTTTTCTTTTGTTTTTACTGATGGCCAATGTCCATGAATTGGAAATTTCAGTTATGTGGGACAACTTTCCTCAATGATGCTGTGTAAATAAAGCAATTGCATTACAAGCTAAGCAACTTGAAGAATTCCAAAATTTTTATTTTATGTTATTTTATGGTTTTTACTAGATGGTTGCATTAATCTTTCTTTACCTTCTTAAAACATTTTGAAAATGAATTATTTTCTCTGCCTTCCTCACACGAAGGCATAAATTTACTTTAAAGCATGCATTTTGTCTGAAACAATTCGCCTTCCCAATTCCAGCCCCTTTTACCCGAAGGACATGTGATTCTTGGTAGAAAGAGAACTGGTATTGCAGAAAAGTTCAGGAGAATATCTCAGGGCAATAACAGCAAGTTAAGGGAAAAGATTGCTTAAGCAGCATTCTGATGAGTCAAGAGTCACTATCTTTCTCTCTATCCTTTTAAAATCCCATAGCATAGCTTGATTGCAAAAATGTCTTCATGGACTGGATTTAATGGCTTTCTGTGATATGTAAACATGACATTCAACATTTGTTCAGAATGATTTTGATGTTTCAGGGTTGTTTGGGGGGGTTATTTTTTACTCTAGCTGAAGTAGAGCTCTGGACCGTCTTTTCTTCCCAGATATAGTAAGGTCTTGTCTTGGAGAAGAACGGTTTTCACTTTGAGAGAGCTACTGTGTTTTCCCTAACAAGTAAGCCGGCCTGTCAAGTAGGAAGGGAATTCTTGGTTTCATAAATCAGATGTTTTACTACTGCACAGGCTTGAAAAAGCATGGGGACACTATGAATTAGTCTGTGGAGTTAGTTTAGGTCCTACGTATTTTCAAGAGAGGTTGGCTGTTTTTTAATAATCCCTTCTTTCTGTGCTTGTATGTAATCTTTTAAGTGGAATCAGTTTTACACTCAGATGAAACTTTCTTTTTTTTTCAGTTAATTATTTTCCATCACCTCCCATTACTCTACATGAGCGTTTCTCAAAATTAAAATATCAACCAGCTAGAGATGTAAATGAAAGTAAATCCATTCAAGATTCAGGAGATAACAGGTAATGATTATTGGATGTACATTTATCTCGTGGGAATAAGCCTAGGAGGAGATGTGGGAAGGTGCGCCTCCTGGGCGTCCTGTAGATTCCAAGATTGGGTTTCCTGCTTAAAAACAGGACACACCCCGGCAGGTACCGGGCCTGTGTGCTGTGATAGAATAGGTTACATTGAAGTCGTTGACAAGTACAGTCTAAATTTGCAGGGCTTTGCAAATATTTTCCTACCTAACTTTGATTCTGCTGTGTCTATAGTAATTGTCTACTGAAGTTATCACTGGAAGAATGAAAGACAGTTGTCAAGCCACAGAAGTCTTGGGTTGCCTCACGTGGTCAGAAATGGCTGTTCTGAGAACAGCTAGGTGAAAACACATGTCTTCTGCTACAGGCACCTGTCTGAGCAGGTGGCGTACCCTGTCTTGTGAGCTGAGTTGAATCAATGTTAGGATGCAGTAGATCACCAGAGCAAAGACTAAGATTACATAGACGAGTGATTTGAGAACTACCAAGGCCTCACTGTGATGTTGTTCAGAGGATGTGTATGTCTTGGAAAACTGCCATTTGGATGAAAAACCACCTGGTGGCAAGTCTCTTTTATTTCCTCCAAGATGCACCAGCTTTACTTCAAATTCCAGTCTGTAGTGATGGAATCAAGCTATTGATGCATAACATAATTATGTCATTGTAATATGCCTTTATTATTTTAGGAGACTAAATATGTCTTTGGCTGGGCTTCCCAGTAAACACGTTATGGTATGTGATTCAGAACAGGTAAGTTTGGATGACAGATTATCTTATTAATGGTGTACTAACGGGAAAGGGAACTGGTGATTGGGAGTAAAAAAAGGGAGTTAAAGTAGATGGGGAACGATTGAGACCCAGGAATCTGAAATTTACAAAGCTCTCCAAGGGATTCTAGTTATGGGCCAGGTTGCAGAGAGAAAACTGACAAAAGACAAAAAATACTCCCTAATAGCAACAGTCTCGAACGGCAATGGCTTTGTAAAATTGACACAAAATTATAGCAATTAATATTTATTCCAAAACTTCACACTGTAAAACTTGCAGAAAGTATATTTGATACCTGCTTTTTCCAAAGCAGTTGTATGGAATACATTTTAAAATTGTATGTGGAATAAATGGAAAGAAACTTACTTTTATTTGATACTGCCCTTCAGAGTCTATGGAATATGAACTAGCAGTATAATGGAACTAATGCTGACATTTTTATTGTCACATGTTGTGTGTGGTGGTTCCTACCCGGCACCTCACCTTCCCTTAACCCCCTACCTATTTCTTGGCTAATTAAATAAACTATCTTACCTAGCCAGGAGGGAAGAACACTGGCTTTTGTTTTTTTTAAAGTATATTAAGTTCTAAAAAAGCTGCTAATTTATTCATTGAGCATGAAGAGTTTTTATAGAGATTTTAATACATTTCTGGTAGAATATATAAAGTTTTTCACTCGTAAATGGTTACAATTTTATAGAATTTAGGAAGAAAGGTTACTTTATTGAATAAATGATGTTTTCAGGAAATTTCTACTCATCAAAGTATTACAATCAACCTAAAGGAAATGTGAGGGTTTTTAAAAATTAAAGGTTAAAAAAGCCTCTAATCCAACCACTTAACACAGAATATGGTTTGATCATCTTTTCTTGCGGTCCTGCATCTGGCAGTTTAACATAGTCGCTATCCTAGCCCAGAAAGTTTTAGATGCTTTTCTCTTTTTACTTAAACCATAATAACTTTTACTTTTATGTAAAAGTCTCTGAATTCCCCATGTCCTTTTATGATTGATGCTCTTTAAATTTCAATTAACTTTTTTCAATGTTTTTTCATGTGTACTTCCCACAAACTCTCTATTAGCATAGTTTAAATGCTTGTACATTATTTCTTTGACTTAATTTATCATAAAATCATTCTTCCCATCCCCTTTATTTTTTTATAATGTATATAAGTTGCTTTTGTTTTTGTTGTTGTTGTTACTTTAAATATAGCTGAATTTGAATATATTTGAGTAAATAACCTTTTCTTTGAACTAGAGTCCCAGAAGCGGGATTCCTGATTCAATGTCGTCATAAGCTTTTCCAACTCTGTATTGTCTGTCAATTGTATCTCAAAATATTTTTGATTAGTTTACACTACAATTAGCAGGATGAGTACAAAATAACTTATTTAGGACTTTTACTTAAGGTTCTTATTAGATATGGTATTTGTGTAACTAACAGTAATGTGAATGGTTTGTCTTCTGTCAAAATTCCTCAGACTCTGGTCAAAGTAATAGATCCAAATGATCTACGACATGACATTGAAAGAAGGAGAAAAGAACGATTACAGAATGAAGATGAGCACATTTTTCACATAGATAGTGCTACAGAGAGGTAATCAGTAGATGAAAAAATCCTGTTATCAGGGAGCTTTTGGTATCAGCATATTTTCATTTTTTTTGTGTGACGATAACTTTCTTTTTAGCATAGGGATTTAATCCTTCAAATCTATTATATGTTTAAGTAAAACCTATTAAAATGTCTCAGTTATTCAGGGATCATCATGTGCCGTTTGATTTAAACAACAAAAATTGTGGGGAGTAGGTGAGTATTTGAGGTCTTTAGAATTCTAGAAAGGAGTGTAACAGAGTTTTTCATATTAGCAAGAGCCAGGACCAGCAAGCGTATGGATTCTTTGGCTCAGGCCGATTCGAACTCTGACAGACTCTGCCCTTTCGATTCCAGTATTCTTCAAATATTACACAATTTGCTGAAGTCCGTGCAATTCTCTTTCAGAATTATTCGTGAATGTCCAACCATGAAACAGAGGCAGGTGTAGTAGAAAGTGCAGAGGAAGCCCGAGTTTGAATCTCATCTCTGCCAGTTGACAAGCTCTTGGGAAAACTTGCTTAGTTTCTGGAGTCTTTTCCTCTCTTAAGAGGAGAATAACCAATCTGTGATGGAGAGGTTAGAATCGTAAACGAACTGGCACATGCAAAGTACTTCATGCCATGCATAGCAGAGTGATCGTCAGTAGACTCTTGTTCTTTAGGGGCTCTGCGTACTCCCCATTGGCTCCATTTTATCTCTAGTTCTGAAAACTGTGGAACCCAAGGCAACCGTGGGTCCCCATGTGACTGTGAGGTATAATTGAATGGGACAGAATTTCCAGTTTTCTCCAACAGCCCTTATACTGTTTGGATCTCCCAGAAAGTGGGAATGTGTGGATAGGAAGGACCAATGCTCATTCTCTTTCCATAGTCCTCAGTGTCAAATTACTGATATTTGCTTAGACTTTTAAGTCAAATCTATGGCTAACAAGATCCTAGTCAAAATACACAGAGCTTGCTTTTAAAACTGGACCTGATTCCGACAGCAAGTTTGGGACCAATTAAAAATAGCAAAACTGTGTTGAGACATCTAAAACAGTTGAAAGTCAAATGGTTAAAACCTTGCTCCTTGGCGGGTGGAAGTCTCCAGTTTCTTAATATGGCAAGCCAAGGCGTGGCTACACAGGCTCTTTCATGCTTTTCTTTGAATCAGCAAGCTTCAGAGACTCAGTGTACCAAGAAAGAGGATTTTTAAGATAATGAACATATCAGGAAGACTGTGGAATGCTTCAGAATATATCTTCACCCTCTGAGGTGATTAAGAGCTTGAGCACTGGAATTACCTGGCTGGCTCTGTAGACAGCTAGCTAGACCGACACTGGACAATATACTTAATCTCTGTTTCCTCAGCTGTAGAGAAGAGATAAGAATTAAACTTACCTCACAGTGGTGAAGATTAAGTAAAGTGGTGAGTGTAAGGTACAGAGTACCTGGTCAGTGTTACTGATTAACATTAGCTTTGAGGATGGCGTAGCATGCTGAGATGTCTTCCTGCAAGATGCCTTTTGCTGGGTCTGTTGGACTGTTTTATTTGTGTTGAGCAGGCGTGGTATAGTGGAACCATGAGGATTTTGTTAAATTGAGGTTTTACTTACCATAAAACTAACCTTTTGAAAGTGAACAATTCAGTAGTTTTTAGTATAGTCACAGTTGTACACCTGTGATCACTTTTCTAAAGCATTTCCTTCGCCCCCAAAAGAGACCCTGTACCCATTAGTTGTCACTCCCTGTAACTCTGTCCGCCCTGTCGCTGGCAACCACTAACTTACTTTCTACTTTCTGTCTGTATGAATTTGAGTATTTTTGACATTTCATATAGTCGCAGTTATATAATATGCGGAATTTTGTGACTGACTTCTTTCTTGTAGTGTAATGTTTAAAAAATTCCTCCATGTAGCATGAGTATTCCTTTTATGGCCGGATCCTATTCTGTTGTGTGGATATACCACATTCCGTTTATCCATTCACCAGTTGATGAATATTTGGGTTGTTTCCACTGTTGGGCTATTGTGAATGCCGGTGCTGTGAACATTTGTGTGCCAGTTTTTGTGTGGACATATGTTTTCATTTCTTTTCTGAATGCGCTTAGGATTGGAATTGCCGGATCATACGATAAGTATGTTTAACTTTGTGGCGAGCTAGCTACCGAGCTGTGTTCCACAGTGGCTATACCCTTGCACGTTTTCGCCAGCAGTGGGTGTCTGTGTGTGTTTACAGTGTATGGAGGTAGGGGATTCTAGTTTCTCTACAGCTTCGCCAGCATTTATTATTGTTCATCTTAAAAAAAAAAAGACTATATAGAACCTTTAATCTCTCACTGTATTCAAATTTAATTTCCTTGTTAAAATAAGAAAATCATTTTATTCTTTTATCTTAGAAACCCGGTAATCAAAATTGACCTCATTAATATTTTTGCATAAACCTTTTTAGTTGGGTCAGTGTATAGATTTTCATAGAAATTCAGAAGAAATGAATATGATGAAATCCTAAATTGTAGGATATAGCGATTTCCCACCTGTGTGATTTTCGTCCCCTCAAAAAGTTATATATAAGGCCCTGGCTGGTGTAGCTCAGTGGATTGAGCCCGGGCCTGCGAACCAGAGTATCGCGGTTCGATTCCCAGTCAGGGCACATGCCTGGGTTGCAGGCCAGTTCCCGGCAGGGGACAGATGAGAGGCAACCACACATTGATGTTTCTCTCCCTTTCTTTCTCCTTCCCTTCCCCTCTCTTGAAAAATAAAGAAAGAAAATATTTTAAAAAAAGTTATATATAGGTTCTGTGTCTGTGTTTGCTCTTGATTGTATCCCTGCTGCCTTAAGCTCAGTTCATAGCTGTTGAATGAAGCTGTCTTTCCAAAGGAGTAGACAGGACAGAGTACTGGAATTTTAATGCATTTAGAGCTGCATCACTATTTAGTCCCTGATACCTTAGGGTAGTCTTTCTCAAGCAAACCTAACTCTAGGACATTCTCTCTAGTTTCCAGACTCTGTTCTCGATTTTCTCCCAGTTCAAACCAACCTCTTACCCTGATGTCTCCATATCTTCTTCCGACACACTATTTCTCCCTTTCGCGATAAGCACAATGAAGTTCCCTGCAGTGCTATTGACATATTGTGGTATATACGCATGGTGTGTGTGTGTGGAAAAGCAGCTTCAAAATCATGTCAATAGACTTTAAAAGGACATGAAACTCCCAAGATTTTCTTTTTTTTAATTAGGCGGATTATGCAAAACATAACATCAGCTTTTATTTTTGCTATATGATAATCTATAATCTATGCTGAACTAGAATTAATTTAATATTTATATAGTTAATGTCTATGTTCTAGTCACTGTTCTTAACACTGGGCGTACAGTGAATAACTATACATGAAGCCTTCGTCCTCACGGAACTTATAATCTAATGGTAGGAGAAATTACAAAACAAATGGATATATGTTGGTCAGGGATAGGTGGAAAATAAGGCAGAAAGGAACTTGAATAGAGTGGTAAGCGTGGTGTGATTTTTAAAGAAAGATTTTATTTATTTATTTTTAGAGAGAGAGGAAGGGAAGGAGAAAGAGAAACATCAATGTGAGAAACATGGATTAGTTGCCTCCCCTATGCGCTCCAACCGGGGACCAAACCCTCAACCCAGGCATGGGCCCTGACCGGGAATCAAACCAGCGGCCTTTCACTTGGCAGAACGACACCCAACCAACTGAGCCACACTGGTCAGGGTAGTGTGGCGTGATTTTATTTACAATAGTTTTGGAATGCACTTACGGTTTTTCCAAAAATCGAACAGGGGTGTGAATTATATGAGAGAGTTAGCCATAGAGTTGTTTGGAGGGGATCGTATTTCATGACAGGGAATAGTGAATGCAAAGACCTTGAAGCAGGGTCTTGCTTGTTCTTGTGTAAGGACTCGAACAGGGCCAGTGGGGTTGTAACGCAGTGAAGCTTTCATGTAGAATGGAAGGGCAGATAAAGTGCTTCTCAGATAAGATCAAGTTCAAGGAGTTCATCATCACCAAGCCCTTATTATATGAAATGTTAAAGGGACTTATCGAAGAAAGAGAAGATAAAAAATATGAACAGTGAAAGGACAGCAAACTCACAGTTATCAACAACCACACCTAAAACAAAAGCAAACTAAGAGGACAGCTAGATCAGGAGCGGAACCATAGAAATGGAGATCATATGGAGGGTTAGCAACGGGAGTGGGAGGAGGAGAAGGGGGAGAAGGTACAGAAAATAAGTAGCATAGACGGTAGGTAGAAAATAGACAGGGGGAGGGCAAGAAAGAATAGTATGGGAAATATAGAATCTAAAGAACTTGACACACATGGTCATAAACTAAAGGGGGGGATGGTAGGGGAGGGGTGTGCAGGGTGGAGGAGAATGAAAGGGGAAATAGAAAAACTGTAATGGCATAATCAATAAAATAAAAATTAAGAAAAAGGAGAGAGTTAGATGAGGTCAAATCATGAAGTCCTTTGAACAACATGAAGACTGTAATTTTACTCTGAGTGAGGTTAGAAAACAATTTGAGTCCTAACCTGAGAAGAAACATAAGCTCATCAATTTTTAAAAGGATCAGTCTGCTTGCTGGGCGGAATATGAACTGTAAGGGCTCGAGGAAAAATGACTTCTTTCTCATGGAAAAAAAAATCGAGGCAGGAAGTCAGCACGGTAGGGCAGACCCACCAAGGGAACCAGGCTCCTTAGTTCTTGCTTCTCAGATCTCCCCGGTGCATGGAGTTTGCCTCCTGGTCCAAGATGAGCGTTTGTGCCCTAGCCATCACGTGTCTGTTTGAGCCTTTTCTTTAAAGACTTCCTGGAATTTACACATGACACCTTAGCCACGCTACTCAAGATTTAGTCTCATGGCCATGCCTAGCTGCAGGGAAGCTGGGAAATATATTCTTTAATTTGGACAGTCATTTGCCTGGTCAAAAATCAAATCTCAAAGGTGAAAAAACATTAGTGTGGCAAAATATGCATATCATAAGTTTTACCATTTTAATATCTTTACATGTACAATTAATTGGCATTAAGTACGTTCATCATGTTTTGCGACCTTCACCACTGTCCACTTCCACAAGTTTTTCATCTTCTTACCCAGAAACTCTGTACCAGCTAAACTGTAACACCCCATCTCCTTCTGCTCACAGTCCCTGGTAAGCTCTTTTCTTTTCTTTCCATTTCTATGAATTTGCCTGTTGTAGTTACCTCATACATATGTAGAATCTTATAATGACCATCCTTTCGTGTCTGGTTTACTGTACTCAGTATAATGTCTTCATGCATGTTGTGTCATATGTCAGAATTCTGTTCGTCTTTAAAACTTCATTTTTTTAAAAGCTGAATACTATTCCATTGTGTGGATATTCCCATTTTGTTTATACAGTCTTCTGTTGATGGGCATTTGGCTTTCCACCCTTTGGCTGCTGTGGACATTGGTGTTGTCATCTGTTTGCTTATTGCCATCCTAGTGGGCACACAGTAGTGTTTTCATTGACATTTGGTTTGTGTTTTTCCAGTGACTATTGATGTTGAGCATTGTTTCATGTGGTATTTGTGTGTCTTCTTTGGAAAGTATCTATTGAAATCCTTTGTCCACTTTTAAGTTGGATATTGTCTTTTTATTGTCAAGATATAAGAATTCTTTATAATTCTGGATACTACTCTTCTATTAGATATATGCTTTGCAAAGAAAATCTTCTAAAGTCCATTGTTTTGTCTATAGAAGTAGCCATATATGTGTTAATAGTCAATATCTGAAAAAAATTGAACAAAGTTTAAGAACAAAAAAATATGAGGCATTCTTAATGTAAGCAGTCAGAGATGACCACTGTTAATATATAGTACATTTTCTATTTTTTAACTACTTTTTCTGGACATATATGTGAATATTTTAAATTACTGAAATTAGCCTTATGATACGAGTTTGCACCCTATTCTTTTGACTTACTATCATTGTCATGAACATTTTGATAGAACCTAGGCTTTGGGTTTTTTTTTTTAACATTTCAAAAAACCCTGAGTAGCTGGCTATTTCATGTCCTCTACTGGGATCAGAGCTGGAGCCATGAGACAAGTCATCCATAGCACCTCCTCTGAAGGGGTCACAGCTTGTTGGGTGAGACAAGCACATAGGTGCCCCAGCATTACAAGTGCAATTGGTGCGTGTGAAGACCTCAAACGCTACATGTGTACTTAGCTGGGCAGCAGGTACCCAGTGCACCTCACAGGGGTCTGGGAAAGCCTTCCTGTAACCGGGGCACATGGAGCTACCTCTTGAAGTTGCTCTGAGTTAGAAGGAAATTGCACCGGAAGGAACTGCACATGCCAGCGTGTGGGTGCAGGAGAGGTTGTGGTGTATGCCAGGGGCCACACACAGCTAAACGTTCCTGAAGCTCAGTGTGCTTGCTGGGGAGACTGGAGTGAAGCAGCAGGGTGAGGCAGCAAGGAACTGAGCAAGAAGGGCGTTGAGGGTCATGATGAAGATTGGATTTCATCTCCAAGTCAGTGAGGGACCCGTGGGAGGGACTGAAGCAGGGCCGGGGCGGTGACATGTTGGTTCACTGTGGAGCGAAGTTGGTTAGCTTCCAACTTAGCTCAGTAATGTTTGTTGAAAATGAAGATTTTAATCCTGATAACTTTGATTTGTAATTTTAGTAATGATGGGTTATTGAGGCTATTTTTACTGTTGTACTGCTTTAATTGTCTCTGAAGGGGGTAGTTTGATTTCCCTTGTTTATTTGTTAGATAAAGGTAAACTAATAAAAGATTCTCATTTTCTCTCTCTCTGTCTCTCTGTCTCTCTCTCTCATTTTATTAGGAATGATCAGCCTTTCCCTTTTTTAACTCCTGTTGGTAGACCTCAAAACCCTCAATGGGCTAAAAAACCAAATTCTACAAAATTTATTCAGAGAACTTACATGGTAAGATTGCAGGTCCAAATTTTTCATTGTTACACATTTTATTCTCACATATTTGTACACGTACAGGGATCGCCAGTGTTTTTCATAATGTTTGCAACTCTTCAGTAAATATGGGTTGTAATTCTTTTGTTCCACATTAACATTCTGCTGAGGCATATAGTTATTGTGACACAAGAAATGTCCATCTCTGATTTAGCAGGATTTTGTTGCATTTATTATACTACTAGCTTTTTTTTCCAACATAAGAACAATTTTATTAAGGTATAATGTACATACCATGAAATTCACCTGTTTTAGGGGTATAATTAAATTTTTTTTTGTAAATTTACTAGGATGTATAACCATCACCATAATCCAGTTTGAAACATTTTCATGAACCCAATAAGAGCCCTCATGCCTGCTAACCACTAATCTACTTTTTGGTTTTTAAAGATGTGCCTTTTCATGGGACAGTTCCCATGGCAACTAGCTTCCATAAGAGCGAGCAAGTACCAGATAGAAAGGTAGAAGCCAGGGTGTATTTGTAACCGAATCTCAGAAGTGACATTCCATTACTTCTGCTGTAGTCTGTTTGTAAGAAGCAAGTCACTAGGTGTAGCCCACGCTCAAAGGAGGACAGTGACATAGGGGCCTGGGTACTGGAAGGTGTGGGTGATGAGGGACCTGGTCCCATTGGTCTCCAGTGATTCACATCCATCCCTTTGTGTGCAAAATACACCTCCTCCCTCCCAAGGTCCCCAAAAGTCTCATCTTATTACATGTACCTTCATGCAGTTACTCGAATCTATAAATTTAGTATAAATTCAAGATGATTCCTATGAAAAAAGTTTTATGTGACTGTTTTTAAAACTGAGGAGAGAGATAAAGGTGTGAAAGGAGAACATTTGTAAGAAGTATAACCTCCAAATGGAATAAAGACAAAGATAGACTATTATTTTAGAAAAAAGCTGTCTTTCAGAGTGGGCCCCCATTTTTTCTGTTCCCATCCAATGGTTCGGGTTCTTTGTAGTTACCATCTTTACACCCTGACTTCTGATTGTTTCCTAGTCATGGCAGGACCATCTGTCCTCTCATCGTGTATCTGAGTCAGGAAGCCCTGCCTCCTGCAGTGTTGAGAATTTGTCTTTTCCTTACACAGTGGGAACTCTTTAGCAGCTTCTGATGAAATGGGTTTGTTTCTCTTCTGGATGCCTGAATAAATGCTGCATTTTTAGTTCATTCTGAAAAATGACCCATTGTCTTATGCAGGAGTATTTTTTTTAACACTTCTCACATTCATGAATTCAACTAGTCCCTCACAGACCAGCATGGGTTACATGAAGGAAGACGTGTGTGCACGTTCCTGTTGCTAAGCTACATCTTTGTGTTCTTAATCCTGTACATGTCAAATGGGTGTTTTTTAATGGTAAAATGAAGTTCCGAAAGTAAACTTTAAAGGTTATTAACCCATGCTACTATTTTTTTCATGCATAATTAATTATACTATGCAGAGAAAAGACATCACTCACAAACTATTTGGAATTGAGAGAAACCATCAAAACACAAGACTTTAGACAGTTTTTTAAATTATCGAGTGTTTCTTTCCATTTAACTCTAGCTTTTGGTTTATGCTTTGAACATAATGTTCTAAGTAGTAGTAACTTAAAAGCCGTTTTATAACGTTTCAGATAATAGCTATAAACTATCATTTCTGGGCCTTTCTAGTCAACTTCCATCAATTTAATGATGACCCCTTTCCTCAGGACTTGATTTTCAGTTGTTTTTTTAAACAGCGGAACCCTTTTACAAATATTACATGGAAATACTAATACACAAAACAGATACAGAAAGAGTGGTTTCAGGTGCGGAGGCAGGCCAGGCCCCAAACAATCCTTCTCAGTCTGTCCCTTCACCTCTAAGATGTAAGTGCCTGACTACAGACAGAGCCTTCTCCAGGATTCACAGATTGAAAAACCCTGCTCATAGAACAGAGGCCTTCTGAGTCAATCAGCAGAGAAAGATTCTGGTCCAGCAGCTTTGTTAAGACACTTCCATTGCATTCCATTTGTACAGCGGTGTCTGATGTAGGTGATAGTTTTAATCATCCAACACGTTTGAGGGTCCAAATAACCTCATCTCCCCAAATGTATGGGATAAGAATTGTAGTACAAAGTATTGTATTTTTCTTTCCTTGCTCTCAGAGGATGAGGTGCTTTTTAAGTCCACTGGACTAATTTTCCTGCTTATGATAGGTACTTTATTCATATTACTCATTCCGCAGGGTCTTCCCCCCTCCCCCTCCCAAAACAGAAAAGGATCTGAGTTTTTTCTTGTGTGAAAGGAGCAAATAGGCCAGAGGAACTTAGCTCATTAATAGGAAGTTAGTATGAGCAGAAAGGTAATACAAACTATCCATGAACCATAGAGTAGGAAAGCAGCTGAGTGATCTGTTAATTAATACCTGGCTTATCAAGAATCAAAATTTTCGATGTCAAAATATTTTTTTCCACTGGGAGCAATACAATTAGTAGATGTTGAGTAGATAGTCAATGGTTTATGTACCTAAACATATGCGTGACATTAGGTTTTTAAAAATAGCTGTGGCCATACAGTATACCAACATCTTAATCTGGCATAAAATGCCATCTTAATCTCTTGAGGCATAAAATCATTAATGGAAAATGTGATGTGTGCATAACTTAGAGATTGTGTCACTGGACTTCCAGATTTAAGTGCTTCCTACTTGTAGTTCTGATCATGGGTCAGATAGAGTTGATGGTAGTATTTTTCTACAAATGTCATATGAGATCTATTTCCTACATCCTTTCCCCTTCATGGAAAGTTCTTCTACATTAATTATAAGTGTTTTTCAAAGTATACACAATAATTTTCATGACCATTCACTTGAAGCTGTGCAATATAATACAATTATTTAGAAGTTCACCATTCTTTATCGTAAAATAAGAACAGGATATAATCCTTCCTAAGAAAAGGAGTTATTTCATTAAAATGTAACTTTTATATTAATTGGGATAATTCAAAGCTAGAATTCATAATCATCTTATTTGGTATGTAAGTGGACAGTGTAAGTCTGAAGATTAGGTCTGATGTATTTAGTTCATGCAGTTATTTTTAACAAAATCAGAGTCTCGTTATAATTGTTTTACCTGAATTTTTTGTAGCATTAAATGTTTACAAAATAGATGTGAAATAAGTACTTTTTACAAACTATGTGCTCCATTATGTATGACATACCCTTTGTTAAATAATTGCAGAAAGAGGAATGTACTTAGATTTTATAATTACTCCATTAAAATATTCCATTTGTACATTTCCCACATGGGAAATACAAGTATTCATTGTCCTTTTATATCGTTGTATTACCCTGCAGTATGCAGGCAAGGAAGTGGGCTTTTTAAGTGTGAAAATATTTGCTGTAATAAAATTTTTATGTTAAAGAAAGATTGACCTGTAGGTACTGACCAGAATAAGGTTAAGGGAGTTTTTGATTCTTAGATGTTGACACTTAATGTCTTCCCCACCATTTGTGATTGGATACATTTCGCTATGAATAAGAAGGATAATTTTAGCTCATTAAAAGTTTTGAAAGTTGTATTTTTCTTAGCATGATAAATTTCAAGAATTTCAAAATGGTTTAACTTTGTTTTATGTAAATTTAAAGCTTATTACATAAAAAGTAATTATATAAAATAACCTAGGAAGCTAATTTGATGAAAATGTCCTTTATTAGTATTATTCTTTCTTAATTTTATTGATTATGCCATTACAGTTGTTCTATTCCCCCCTTCAATCCCCTCCACCCTGCACCCCCCTCCTCCACCATTTCCCCCTTTAGTTCATGAACACGTGTCTCAAGTTCTTTAGATTCTATATTTCCCATACTGTTCTTGCCCTCTCCCCTATCTATTTCCTACCTACTGTCTATACTACTTATTTTCTGTACCTTCTCCCCCCTTCTCCTCCCACTCCCCTGTTGGTAACCCTCCATGTGATCTTCCTTTCTATGTTTCTGCTCCTGATCTAGCTGTCCTCTTAGTTTGCTTTTGTTTTAGGTGTGGTTGTTAATAGCTGTGAGTTTGCTGTCCTTTCACTGTTCATCTTTTTTATCTTCTTTTTCTTAGGCAAGTCCCTTTAACATTTCATATAATAAGGGCTTGGTGATGATGAACTCCTTGAATTTGATCTTATCTGAGAAGCACTTTATCTGCCCTTCCATTCTAAATGAAAGCTTTTCTGGGTAGATCAATTTTGGATGTAGGTCTTTTGATTTCACAACTTGGAATACTTCTTTCCAGCCCCTTTTTGCCTGGAAGGTCTCTTTTGAGAAATCTGCTGACAGTCTGATGGGGACTCCTTTGTAGGTGACTGTCCCCTTAGCTCTTGCTGCTTCTAGGATTCTCTCCTTCATTTTCATCTTGGCTAATGTAATGATGATGTGCCTTGGTGTATTCCTTCTTGGTTCCAACTTTTTTGGGACTCACTGAGCTTCCTGGATTTCCTGGAAGCCTATTTCCTTTGCCAGATTGGGGAAGTTCACCTTTATTATTTGTTCAAATAAGTTTTCCACTTGTGGCTGTTCCTCTTCCCTTTCTGGTACCCCTATAATTCAGATGTTGGAGCATTTAAAGATATCCTGGAGGTTCCTAAGCCTCTCCTAATTTTTTTGAATTCTTGTTTCTTCATTGTTTTCTGTTTGTTTGTTTCTTTCTTTCTTTCTTCCTTCCTTCTGGGTCACTCTATTGATTTGAGTTCCAGTTTTCTTTCCATTACTATTGGTTCCCTGTGTATTGCCTTTATTTCACTTAGTGTAGCCTTCATATGTTCCCCTAATTTGTGACTAAAATCAACCAGTTCTGTGAGCATCCTGATCACCAGTGTTTTGAACTGTGCATCTGAAAGTTTGGCTATTTCTTGGTCGCTTAGAGTTATGGGCTCTGGGGCTTTGAGTTCTTCTTGAACCCTGTTTTGGTCTGTTCATGCCTGTTATGTATGAGGAGTGGAGCCTTAGTTGTTCACCAGGGCGGGGCCACCCAGGTCGCTGGGTTGTGACTCTGTGTATGTGGGGGCGGGGTCAGAGTGGGGAGATGGCAGCCCCCTCTGCTGCATCCCGCCTCTGGGGCCTGCGCAGTCTGTCTCACTGCTTGCTCCTTCACTGGTTTATTTGCATGCGCCTGCGAACACAGGACCACCGTCAGCCTGCCGCCTTGTGCCCCACTGGATCTGCCTGTTGCAACCCCAGGCCCGGGATCCACCAACCGCTGCCCACAGGCCTGGGTGGATCTGGTCGAGTTTTCCTGTGCAACCCCGCTCCGCCAGCTGCTGACTCTGCCCCTCTTACCGGTCTGGCTGACCGGTTCGTTGTGTTGGACTTCCATATAGTTCAATTTTCTGTGTTTTTGCTGTGTTTTTTGTTACTAAAATTTTGTTTTCTTTAAACTTGGTTGTGCGAGGAGGCACAGTGTTTCCACCTACACCTCCATCTTGGTGGAAGTCCTTTATTAGTATTATTAACCTCTTTCCTTTTAATATTTGTAGTGCTTGGAAATCAAGGGCACTTCTAAATACCAGACATTTTCCCATTTCTTATGCTCGTAAAGTAGATTTGGAAGCTGTAGTGTTAACATTTAATTATTGTTTGCTTTACAGACCAACTTTAGAGGTGGCGGACGCCAGCCCCATTATAAATCAGGCCTCGTGCGGAAGAGCTTGTACATTCAGTCCAAATACCAGCGTTTACGGTTCTCCGGGTCAAAGGGATTTACCACTAATAAATTCAGACAAAGATTAATGAAGAAAAAGGTGAGTTGAATTTGTGATTATTTAAAAATGTTGAGTGACTTTTGAACTCCTAAATTATCTCTGTTTAATAGATAAATTGGGCTTTTTATTTAATTTGACTTGGGAAACAACCTAGATTCCAAAAATACTTTTATTGTATGATAGTTGCAGAAAGACTTCCAAGGGCTGGCAATGATAGAGTTGTGAGACTGTTTAATCTTAAAATAGTTTTAGCGTTATATCTCACGTACTTGGATTATGCCAGCTGTTTAAACTTCTTACTTTAGACTTTCTGTTGCATGATCAATTTTGAAATGGAAATTCAGGTAAAGCGTTTTAACTGATGTATGTTAGCTGAATAAAAACGTGAATTATCTAAGTACCAAAAAAATTTTGAACTGAATATATAAAAAGGGGACATAAATGCAAAATACACTAACTGTTCTTTTTTCCCCATTCATAAATGTTTTATTGTGATAAACTATGTGACATAGAATTTTCCATTTTGAAGGATACAATTCAATAGCATGAATTACATTCAGAATGCTGTGCAACCATCACCACTCTATGCTAATTCTTAATGTTAATAAAACATTCTTTACTTGATAAGTTGAATTTAGTCCTCTTTTAGTTGTAGATAGATTTAATTTAAATTTGCCATGTTGCTATTTGAAAATGCACCATAAATAGGATACAAAATTACATTCTACATAGTATATTTTAGATGAGAATAATAGCATTACATCAGTTAAGTGAGGTATCTTTGTCAGTTTTTGACTCATTTTTGTTAACAATTAAATGTATGTATATTCAGTGTTGCTATCAAATAGTCCAACTGTGGTTTTATACATTTCCTAACCATAAGTGTTTCCTTAACCATTCATACCTGTAAAGTCTTTACACTGAGGTTGCTTAGTGATTTCAGTAAAACTTATTTTCCAAAACATGGATCAGTAGAATGAAGTTGACAACTGATTTCTTTTTAAGTTTTTTAATTAAATGTAGTATCTCCTGAACCTCTCTCACTCCCCCCCACCCAGTTTTAACCGAGTACCTTAGAAGAGGTTTCTAATTTCACTGTGTATGTCACCCTAGGTGTTTTGAAAGCCATCTCTCCTTTAAAAATGTGAGTGTGATTGTTGTCATTTTCCCCTCTCATACACCTCCATACTGTCGGGTTGAGGCACTCCTTTTCTTCCTGTCTTTCATGGCAAATTTCTTTGCAACATGTCTCCTAGGCATTTGTCGCCAATCACAGGTAGCAGCCTGAGTGGTCTCAGGGAAGCTCGTCATTGATTTCCACTGGAGGAGGAAGGCTGAGACAAGCCTTTTCCTTAATTTTAAGGTTGCGTCTCAGGTACACATTATGTGTTTTTCTTTTAGTTCTCTCTGGAACTTTGAGTGTTAGCTCCATTGAACTCCATTTTTACCTCTATTCTTTGGATGATTCGGGACTCCTGAGTGCTCACTTGACTGACTGCCTCAGTCTGTGCTTTCTATATGTTCTTTGAACTTGCTCCTTTCCATCACTCTTCTTTGCCTCACCTTGCCCAGTTCCTACTGACCACCCACTTCTTCCAGACCACACTGTCCACCAGCCTTGCCTAACAGCAAATAGAAACAACAATGGCAATGGCAAGCCTTCATCTGAGCACATGAGAAGCGTGTCCTAGAAGGGGCCACGGCCTACTATGGGTCTCCAGTCTTTTTGTGTCATCTAAACTGAGGCAACTGGTTATAGTTAGGGTTTGGTGCAGGTCATGGTCCTGCCCTCCTGTTGCCTTTCACTGCCATCTGAGTGCTTTAGAGGTGGTCCCACCACACTGGATTTTTTTTTTTTTTAAAAAACAGTGTCTACGGTTGTTTTTCTTAGGCATACCCTTCTGCATAGTACTTCCTATATCTTTGTATCACAGCTACTTTGACATGCGTTTTTCCAGTCTGGCTGCTGTCAGTGCCTGCAGGCAAGCCATAGCCAGGCTGTTATAGATTGTTTGAATGAGGCACAACTCTGTGAATATAGCACGAAGTCAGTTTCCTACTGTGGTTAGCACCCAACTTCACAGTGGGACTCCGTACTCTCCTAACCTTTAGGAAAAGTAATGAGGCACTGCAGCTGCTCTGTTTCTGCCAGGGTCTGAACTTCGGCCTTGCTTGGCTTTATAGCGCTGTCCAATAGTGTTGTGCCACTCCGAAACCCCACTGCATGTGTGTGAACTGATGGCCCAGACCTATTACTCCATTTTACCTCGGACCCCAGGCTTCATGCCCTGAGGAAAAGAGGTAGAGGCCTGGCGTCTGGCTTCTTCTAATGTTGCCTGCTTCCCCTTTCCCTTAGATTAGGGACACTTTTCTTAAGTTCAGCAACAGAGGGAACTTTGAAGCTCCTGTCTTAGAGAGAAACCTTAGCTTGAGCCCCATCTCTTCACTGCTTTGGCTTTTTGCCCTAACAGGGCCTTCATTCTTTTCATTGTTGTTAGTCCACCACCTAGATTAGATTAATTAAGGATGCATAATCAATTAATTAAACTAGGTACCCTGGAACTTCTTCCCATGTGTCTCAGAGTCCACCGGGAAGGGTAAGATGGACCTTGTCTGGACTTCTCACTCCCCTACTGTACTGAAATACCTGGGCTGATCATTCATGGCTTGAAAGTCTTATGATGCTCAGGTGCTCTGGTTACTGTACATCAGACATGTGCTTCCGTCTTCAGCACCAGTCTCAGGGAAGGGTTGGGGACATGTGCTTCTAATACAACCTTTGTCCCGCTTACCAGAACGATTCTGGCTTCTCTAAAACTGCCTTGGTTCCCCAGCTGCCTACAAAGTAGTAAGATTCCCAAGCAGTATTAGAAAGGTTCAGAACTGAAGTTCTTTCTCCTCATTTATTATGCACTCATCATATCTGCCCCATTCTGGCACCCAGATTCCCTTTTATTGTACTTCCTTTCTTTTGGATTCTGGGCTTAGATGAAGAATGTTGGTACCACCCGGAATATGGCTCATCTTTTATCTACTATTATTCACAAGTGCCCCTCTTAAATATCTCATCGCAGAAAGTTTGCAGAAACTCTTGTTTTTAAAAGATTTTATTTGTTTACTTTTTAGGGAGAGGAAGGGAGAGAAACATCAGTGTGTGAGAGATACATAGATTGGTTGCCTCTCACACGCCCCCAACTGAGGAACCTGGGTCACAACCCAGGCATGTGCCCTGACTGGGAATCGAACCTGCAACCTTTTGGTTTGGTAGGCCAGCACTCAGTTCACTGAGCCACACCAGCCATGGCTGCAGAAGCTCTTGAGGGTCAGACTATGTACCAGAATAGGACAAAGATCCTAGTAAGAATTCATGAAGCCACCTCTGGGAACATTGCCTCTGAAAAACTGAGCAGTTGTGCATTTGGTCAGGAACACATGGGTTCCTTAGCATCATAGATTCTCTAGCAGTTCTCAGGTGCCCATCAGCTAGGCGCCAACCAGAGCTCTGTGTGTGGATAGGAAGGGGGACAAAGGGGAGAGAGCATCAGGATACCACAGGAAGAGAGTGAGAGGCTAGGATTTATGGCTTTTTGAGTTGGGAAAAACCTTGGAAGTGAGAATACAAAGATTAGAATAGGAACAAGATCAGAGGAATCAACAAAAATCTGTTATAGCCCTGCTGTGTCCCTCAAACCGAAGTGTGCTGGGGTGAAGTGTTGCATAGGAGCCTCGTCGCCTTCAGACATTTATGATCTGGAACCTCCAGTTTCACTGCCTACTCCTCTGACTTCTCTGTCTTACTTAGTGATTTCTCTCCTTCTGTGTACCCTTGCAACACGTGAGCATTCCCTAGTGTCATACTCTTTACTCTCTCTGTTTATTTTTTGCTGATACTCGCCTCGATTGCCCTCACCTTTCCCAAGGTTTCAGCCATTGCCTCTGGTGATGTCTTCAGCTCTGGACCACCCTCCAGGGCCCCAGATTTCCAGCGGCCTCCTAGTACCCTCCCATGGATGTCCAGAAGCACCTCAAACCCAGCATGTTCAAAATCAAACTTGCACTGACACATGCCACAGCATGGGTGACCCTTAAAAACCTGGTGCTAAGGGACAGAAACCAGTCATAAAATACCACGTATTGTATGAGTCCATCTATAGGAAATGTTCAGGAAAAAGAAGCCATTGAGACAGAATATAGGTTAGTGATTGCAAGGGGGTTGGGGGTGGGGGGAGGCAAATGGTGAGTGTGCGTGTGTGATTATTAAAAAATACGGTTTGGGGTTTTTAGGTGGGAGGTTGAGAAAAATATTCTAAAATTGATTATGGTGACTGATGGTTGCACAACTCTGAGTACACTAAAAAACTGTTGAATTGTACACTTTAAATGGCTGAACCATATAGTATGTGGAGTATGTCTCAGTAATGCTGTTAAAAATAAAATGAAATTTGCTCTCCTCCTCAGACCACTGCTTTCTCCTCATGGTCCATAGCTCCTGCAGCCCGCCGGCAGCACCAGAAACTTGTCCTATTAATCCTCCTAGTCCTCCTTCCAACTTCAACCAGTCCAAGTCTTCTTATTTCTGTGACTCACTCATGTCGTAATTCCGTTCACTCCTTTTGACGGCTGCATATTATTCCTCTCTGTGGATGTGTTATTTATTTCAGTGCTCTCCAAACTTTTTTGCTTATCTACCCTAAGGTTTTGAAAAATTATTAACCTCATTGCACATGTTATCTTATTTTTTATTACAAGTTTAAATTGTTATAAAGGATATAATATAGGTGTATTATAAATACCGAGTCTTTTTTAAAAAAGATTTTATTTATTTATTTTTAGACAGAGGGGAAGGGAAGGAGAAAGAGAGGGAGAGAAACATCAATGTGTGGTTACCTCTTGTGTGTCCCCTACTGGGGACCTGACCTGCAACCCAGGCATGTGTCCTGACTGGGAATGGAACCAGTGACCCTTTGGTTCAAAGGCTGTACTCAATCCACTGAGATATACCAGCCAGGGCTATAAATGCTGAGTCTTAAATAAATGGTTACATGATTCTGTTAAATTGCTTCAGTGGAACCTGCATACCACAGGAATTTGATAACTGATGTCATCCATTTAAACAGTGAGAAATTTTACGTCATTCCTTTTTTTGCCTTGAATATGGATTTCATTTCATTTCCCCATAGACTTGTCTTTGAAAGTTTTTTATTAATCACCAAATCAAACAACATAAATGTGAGTAGATTTCTGTGACTATCAGGTGTTAAATATTTCCTCTGGATTGAGCTAACATTACTATTGATCAAAATAGCATAAATATATTCCATATTTTGTAAAGTATTGATTAGACAAACAAGTTTTATTAGAAATATATTTCTCTTTTTAATTAGTTCATGTATTCATAGATAAATATGATTATTGCTGGTAGAATAATACAGTGTTTAAATATCCATTCTAATTCTATTTTTTCTTTTTATAGATGTAAGTCCTGAGAAACCTTGTTTATATGATTATGTAGATGGGAATGAAAGGACTTTTATTATAGCAAAACCACTGAATTCTTTGGACTCACTCTGAATTATAGGCCAGAAAAATCACTTAGTGATCTGTCATCAAAAAGTACTTCGAGTGTTCTTTCACTGACAGCTTAATTTTTCTCTTCTTTCTATTGTGTTGTTAAAGCAAAGACTCAGAAACCATCACAGCTGCAGAAGTGTGGTATTTATGAGTAGCTGCTAGGATGGCTTTGTTTTTTTTTCACACTATCACCAATATTTCCAATTTCCCATTTGTGGGGGCTCCTCATGTTATCCAGAGTAATAAGATTCAGGATGCAAAGGTATATTTTTCTTGTATAAATTGGGAGGTGGGGAATCAGACTTAATTAGTTGTACAGGCAGGTTAATTCTGGAAAGCAAGCATTGGGAATTAAGATCTGGAAATTACTTTCCTCCAAGCTAGCTATACCCGCATACTCCTTGGAAAGTGTATATGGACCCCTAAGGGTACACACACCCCCCGTTTGATGATTGCTGACTTATTTAACCAAGCCTCTATTGATGACTTCAGGATAGCTTACCGATTTTCATTCATTTCAGTAACACTCCTGAGACCATGGACACTTTAGTATCTTGCCATAGTGCCCCTTTTATTCATTTCTGTTCTCACCAGAAGTCCGTGAAGAGGCCTGTTTTCCTACACCCTAGCCCACACTCCAATTATTAAGTCTTTATCTGTCGCCAGTCTGATAGCAGAAAATCGTTTTTATTTGCCTGTCCCTGATTAACGATATGACTGTATTTTCGTGTATCTATTGGCCCGTTGTATTTCTTCCCTTGGTTTCCTCTGTGCTTTCCCAGTGTTCCTGCTGAGGGGTGGCACCTTCTCTGGTCGGCTTGTAAGAGCTGCTGATCCCCGAGGGCAGCCGTCTGCCATACCTTTCGCTGGCATTTATTTGATGTTTGTCAGCTGTCGTGGTGGCTTTTCTATGACAGAACTTGTAAATGTGGATGAATCTGGCAAGTATCATGCTGATGCTTATAAAAATTCCTTATGCGTATTTTTATAACCATAATGGTGAGATTTATGGTTATAACATTTTAAACATATAAATATCTATTCCATTTAGAATTTATCTCTTGTGCTACAGTGGTGAGGTCAAGATCTCATTTCCCTCGCCCCCCACTCGATAGTCAGGTTTTCTAACACTCTACTGAGTAATTTGTCCTTTCCCCATTGATTGAAAGCTCCACCTTCACTGTACGCTCTATTCTATGTATTCCTGGTCTGTTTTTGGACTCTTTGGAGCCTCTAACTTATTTCCTTGCTTCCTATGATTTGCTTATTTCGTTCGTTCACTACTAGCACAATTATTGTCCTAAAACACAGACTGAATCGTCTCACTCTTGTGCAAATACTTTCCAAGGTTTTGTTGCCTATGGAAGAAGAAGCCAGATTTGTTAGCCAGGTCCAACCTTAAGCTACCTTTCAAACTACATTTCCCCACCTACCTTCTGCTTTTCGGAGGATGACATATGTTTTCATGTATTTGTATCTTTGTGCCTGCTGTTCTCTTGACTCAAAATAGCCTCCTGATTCCTAATCTTTTCTTATTAAAACCCCGATTTCTTTTAAAGACCCACTGTGAAGCCTTACCAAAGCCCCCTCCCCTTTCTAACTGTCCTTTTATGTGGTCTCAGTTGTTGTTTACCTTCCTTTTTCCCCAAATAGGTGGCCCACCCCTTGAGGATAAAGGCTACCTCTTTAGTTTTCATATTCCTCTATTCTCTTTCAAGTAGTCCATTTGTGGAAAATACTTACTGAATGAATCAAATTTAATCTTAAACACACACAACACATACATACATGCACACACACAAACACTGCCATCCATAGCTGTAAAAAGATAGTGAACAACAGCTATTGTGCCAGGGGTCCCCACAGCCACCCCAGGTTCAGTGATTCCCTAGGAGGACTGAGAGTACGCATCACATAGTGACACTCATGGCCGTGATGTGTCACTGTGGAAGGCTTCACAGTGCAGTCAGACCAGGGAATTGGTACCCAGGCAAAGTCCAGAGGACACCAGATGCAAGTGTTGAAGAGTCTGCTCCCAGTAGAGTCACACAGGACGTGCTTCCTTCCCATAACAGTGAGCTGTGGAAACACATGCGGGGGGTTGCCCTCCAGGGAAGCTTCTTAGAGACTTGGTGTTTGTAGGAGACTTATTGGGAGCTGGTCACACAGGCAACACCTGCCAGGCACGTACTCAAATTCCAGGCGCTCAGAAGGAAAATAGGGTTTCAGCATGGACTATATTGTTTGCACAGTTCAGACACTCATCACTGGTGGGAACCCTCCCAAAATCGAAGTTCCCAGTTGCCAGCCAATGGCCAAACTCATAAGCAGACCTTTCGAAGGGTAATCGTCAGGAATACTGCATTAACTATTTGCTGTACAGTCATATTTTTGAAGAGCTTAATTTCACAGATGGTAAATGCCTAAAGAGAGGAGGAAAAGAGCAATGCGTTAGGAATAGTCAGGGAATGTATGCTAAGTACTTTGATTTCTACTCTCTTCACAGAGCAGGTAGGTCATGGGCTCAGTCATGGAGTAGAGCAAGACATAGAAGGGGCTACAGCCAAAGACCCATGTTTGGCAGTAGAATGTCGAGCTGGGTAGACACAGGGGTATATAAGTTACAAAGGACCTCAAAATCTTGATTGACTAGGATGTGTTGTGGTAGTAACAGGGCATCTTCCTAGACCGGGAAGGAAAAAGTGATACTTGAAGGTGATCAGTTGGTGAGCAGTGGGTAGGCAGGGTTCTGGGGAAGAGAGGAGATGCAGGAAGACCCACAAGGGGACATACACAATGACAAAATGTCAAGTTAAGAAAACCTAGAGGAGGGTAGTTATCGTTTAGCTGGGTCAGCAATCTGCCTAGTAAGGTTTTTAAAACATTAGAAAAGTAGAGTGATCAGTCCAAGAAATGGTGTCGAAGAAGCCGTGTCAAAGGTGAATATAATTCAGAATAATTGTACATTTTTATAAACAAGGTATTTCAGTTGAAAACATTTAAGAATTATTGTAGGTAGAGTTTTAAAGTTGTTAATAGGCAACAGTTTTTTTAAAAAATATTATATAATGAATAAAGAAATGGGATACGATGAAGCCCACCTCTATTTAAATGAATAATGTTGACAAATATATATGCATGTATTTCAAAGGTTTCATTACCCCAAATAGAAAGAAGAATAAGAATTTTCTATCGTTACTGTTTTGTTTGGAATTAAACATTTGCATACTAATATAAATGCCAAAAAATAAATCAACTTTTACATTTCTTTCAGTTTTAATAATGTAAGACCCTAGTAAAAGGTAAGCATATATGTATTAATAGTTTTAATGTCCCATTAAAACTATTATCATTCTATCATTTTTGGTCTTTTATTAGTTACATGGTCTTATGTCCAGTTTGTGGTTGGTAATTTAATATCTTACATAGTATCACATATACAATCCATGTTCATTACCCTTTAATCATAGTCTTACTGTTTTTGTGAATTTCTTTTTCTGTGTTTATTGAAACCTTACATATTTTTATGTTATAAGTAACCATCCACAAGCAAGAAAGCTTCCCACCCCCACGCCGCCCCAGTTATCTTTACTGTTATTGGCCAAGCTAGAAGAGTCCATATAGTTTCATAACCAGACACCATATGATGACAGAGATAAAAATACCGTTTCAAGTTGTGAATGTGTCACATCAGGCTTTGTACCTGAGTGACGAATGTTGTAAGAGCCCTGATTTTTGTTGCCGGGGACGTCCCCGGTGAAACTCGCCCAGCGGCAGAATGCCATTTTCATCAACTTATTAATACCAGTGCGCCCACTACCACATATTTTCTTTGCCCTACTGACATCATTGGACACCCACTCGGACATGCGTGTTTGGGGTTCCACACACCTTTGTGGGGATCTTGGATATGAGTGGTGCTATATATACATTGAAATCTTCTGAAAATTGCAATGTGAACAAAACTCGAGCTCAGGTATTAACAACTGATCCTTCTCTTGAACTCCGTATCTCTTTTGTTTTCTTTCCGTAGGAAGACTCAAACATGGCCACTGCAGACAAATTGGGAATCGAGACAAAGGGAAGCCACACTACAGGAAGATATTAAGAGCATCTCTGTCAGGACTTAGAATTATCTGTAAACACTAATACTGTAACTTTCTTGAAGAAAATAACTTTATTTTTGTGTAGTGGATGCTGCAACTTTTTTATACTTGCTTTTACATTACAGTATTCAATTGAAAAGTTGTATAACTACAGTTTCTTTTGCAAAAGGTCTCAAAAGGACATTCATTATTCGTTGGATTTTTCTCTGAGCGTGGTTTCATAGGGGACTTAACTGAGTTACATCCCAACGTTGATATGTTGAAAGTTTTTCTTATGTGATAAAAAACAAAAGTATCTGAATTATATAGTGTCTACACATGAAAGAACTTTAAACAGTGGCCTTACAGTAGTAAATTTTATACCAGATTTTTCTTTTTCTGATGGCATTTTGGCTTATTGAAGTTTTCTTAAGTTTCTGAAGTTCAAGGCCTATATAATTCATACATTTCATATTATAAGAAGGCCAGATAAAAGGTGCTTCAAAATATTCCATCAGGTAGTGAATGCACTGAATTTTTAGTAATTGGTTCATTGAGGTTTTTCATAACTGTTGCTCTTTTCCAGTTTTAAAATGCTATTGTGGAAAATATGTGAAGGTTTTATAATCCATCTTACTTTCCCTCAGGGCAAGCTTGTGCATATCGTATTTTTAAAGGCTTTTAAAATTTTTGACAAAGTCTCATATTTGGGAATTGTACTTTACTATGGCATTATGCATTTTGCAAGTGCATATTATAAAGTGTTTATTTTAAGTTCATTTGTATTGAATATCTACTATGTATGAGACACAATTGATAGGATTACAAAAGATATTTTAGGCCTTAATATGTAAGTTTTCTTTTTTTTTTTAATTTTATTTAGTTACTTTTCAAGTACATTTTTTTCCCTTCCCCCCCCCCCGCCCGGTCTCCCCCCTCCCTCCCATTCCTCCCCCCACCCCCAGTCCTCATCTCTGTGTCTTTCATACTTGTTCCTCAAAATCCCTCCTCTAATTTCTTTTATGTTTTGTATGTTAGGCTTAATAGTACATATACATTACCAATCACATTTTTTTGTGAAATGTTTATTGATCAATAAAATAATATGGTTGTTCTTTATGCTTGAGGAAGTTACTTGCCAGTTTGTGAGAATAATACTTTTATTTTATATGAGAATTATAGCTGTAGCTAGGACCTATCAATGACAGTTTTCTGCACTTCAACCTTTGTAAGGCAAAATCTGGTAAGAACTTGATTTTTTATAACTGGATTATGAAGAATCTTACTATGAACATTTATTTACATATCTTTAAAAGATAGGTCTGCTGCCCCTTTGAAAAGCACTCGTTGGGCCTTTTGCTAATGGCCCACTGAGCCGTCAAGAAAGGGCAAAGTAAAAACACCGCTTTTGGGTGAAGTGGCAGCATGTCGTGTTGTTCTGCTTCAATCAGTGGTGTGACAAGGGGGGAAAAAAAAGATAGGGCTGCCATTTCCTTAATGGGTCAGTGATAAAAGAGGTGACAACACCTGCTGCATTAAAATCAGGTAATAACCCTGCCCGGGTAGCTCAGTTGGTTAGAGCATCGTGCCAATACACCAAGGTTTCAGGTTCAATCCCCAGTCAGGGCACATACAAGAAGCAACTGATGAAAGCATGAATAAGTGAAACAATAAAATCAATATCTGTCTGTCTCTCTCAAAAAATAAGTAAATTAAAAAAAATACTTATTAAAGACCTGGCTGGTGTAGCTCAGTGGATTGAGTGCGGGCATGTGAATCAGAGGATCATGGTTCGATTCCCAGTCAGGTCACATGCCTGGGTTGCAGGTCAGTTTCCAGCAGGGGACACACGAGGGGCAACCATACATTGATATTTCTCTCCCTATCTCCTTCCCTTCCCCTCTAAAGATAAAATCTTTTAAAAATTAAAAAAAATACTTATTATATATTTCTTAATAAATTTAGGTAGGTGGCCTGTCTTATGCTATGTAACATCTCTGTAGGCCAGGTTTTCCGAACATATTTAACATTCCACTTACGGTAAGAAAGAAATGCATGCACACAGTAGTATGAGAATGTAATATTTTGCTAGATACTCATAACATCTGCCTTAAATTTCAAAATGATTTATTTATGCCCATGTTCTGGGGGACAGTTAATGGGCCTCAAAAATTGAAACACTGAACACGTATTTATTGCAGATTCTGTGCTAAAATTACCACAACGAACGAGGAAAAGCCACATAGAGTCTGTCTTTATGGTACTGACGGTCTGATAGGGAAAAGAGATGTTAAGCATAGAAACATAACTCAATAAATGGCATTGATTCTCCAGCTCTATTTTTTATTTATTGTAGCATTTCAGGGTAAAGTGGCTGCTTCAGTATTGATCATTCCACAACTGATTTTAATTTTTAGGGGTATTTGGATTTATTTTTGGCACTATCTCAAAATGCAAAGCTTGTTATTGGCAAAATACCTATTTGTAGCATGAGTATAGTCAGAAAACATTCAGTGCATAAGATCTGAAGCCTAAAAATAAAGGCCTGCTTTATAAGTTAGAGTATAACATAAGGATAGTGACCACATCTGTGCTGTTCACTGTAGTATCACCACCCTCCCCACATCCTACTCATTAGGATGACACATAATGGGAACTCATTAAATATTAGTTGAATGAGCAATGAGTAGAATGTTTATTAGGATCTAAATATCTGGTTTTCTTGTGGAGGTTGAACAGAAGGTTATCCATAGCATTTTTTTTTAATTGACTGGAAAGAATTGAATTCACTTGGGCAAAGGGCTTAAACAGACACTTCTCCAAGGAGGACATACAGAGGCCCACAGATACATGAAAGGATGCTCAGCATCACTAGCCATCAGAGATGCAAATTAAAACCAAAATGAGGTACCATGTTACACTGGTGAGAATGGCCGTCATTAATAAATTAACAGTAAGTGTTGGAGGGGATGTGGAGAAAAGGGACCCCTAGTTCACTGTTGGTGGGAATGCAGACTGGCGCAACCACTGGAGAACAGTATGGAATTTCCTCAGAAAACTAAAATGGATCTGCCTTTTGATCCAGCAATTCCACTGGTAGGATGATATCCTAAGAACCCTGAAACACCAATCCAAAAGAACCTATGCACCCCAATGTTCATAGCAGCACAATTTACACTAGCCAAGTGCTGGAAGCAGCCTAGGTGCCCATCAGTAAATGAGTGGATCAAAAAACCGGTACATTTACAAAGTGGAATACTATGCAGCAGAAGAAAAAGGAGCTCCTATCCTTCGCAACAGCATGGATGGAACTGGAAAGCACTATGCTAAGTGAAGTAAGTCAGGTGGCGAGATGGGACCATATGATCTCATCTATAAGTGAAAACTAATCAACAAAACAAGGGAAATATATCCAGAGACATGGAAATAAAGAACAAACTGACGGTAACCAGATGGGAGGAAGGAGGGGGTCAATGGGGAAAGAAAGGGAAGAGGCAAGTGAAGGAACATGTAGAAAGAACCCATGGCCGAGGACAATAGGAGGGAGGATTAGATGTGGGAGGTGGGTGGGCAGGGCAGGGGAGAGCAATGGAGGAAAAATGGGGACAAATGTAACTGAACAATAATTTTTTTAAAGATTTTATTTATCTTTAGAGGGTGAGGGTTGGAGAGAGAGAAAGAAATATCAATGTATGGTTGCCTCTTGTGTGTCCCCTGCTGGGAACTGGCCTGCAACCCAGGCATGTGCCCTGACTGGGAATCCAACCGTGATCCTCTGGTTCTCAGGCCCACGCTCAATCCGTTGAGCTACACCAGCCAGGGCTAGACCCTTAAAATTAAAAAAAAAAAAATTGAATTCACTAATGCTCAAGACTGTAGAAGGGAAGTTGTTTTGATAAGTCACATACCATTGCCTTCTCCCCTTCCTCTGCGTGGTAGGTCCTTCCTTGGCACCGGGAGGACAAAGATAGGGCATGCTTCCTGCTCTGAGGAATCCGATCGACTTTTGGGGAAGAGTCACAAAAATAAAGACTTGGGATCTAGGCATGTGCGTATTATCCTGGGCATATATGTTGTGCAAAAGGTTGAGAGAAACACTGGTATTCCTGATTAAGCATCCTCTGGTCGCATTTTTTTCTTACTGGTTTCACAAAAATCAAAAGACATTCTGTTGGTGATTTTGCTGGTTTCAAAATTTGATAGGTTGGAAAAATTTTTTTGATAGGTTGGGGAAGCCTGAGTGAAGCGAGCATGGGTTCTGTCTGAATTATTTCTTATAGCTGCATGTAAATCTATGTCAATATAAATTTTGATTAAAAATCAACCATAATCTTATCACAAACTACTATAAATATTATGGAGGATACTGATTTTTTATATTGGCAGAAACGATTATAGTTACATAATAATTTATGTAATGAATAATATGGACCACATTTTACCCATAAACTGTATATATATATTTTAATTTTTTAAAGATTTTATTTCTTTATCTTTAGAGGGGAAGGGAAGGAGAGAGAGAGAGAGAAATATCAATGTATGGTTGCCTCTCGTGTGTCCCCTGCTGGGAACTGGCCTGCAACCCAGGCATGTGCCCTGACTGGGAATCGAACCGCAATACTCTGGTTCGCATGCCCGTGCTCTATCCACTGAGCTACACTAGCCAGGTTGTAAACTGTATATTTTTAAATATTTTTTGAAGGCTGTAAGTATTTCCAGGTACAATCAGGAGAAGTTAAAGCCAGATCAGAAACTCTCCTCCATTAACTAGCCACCTCAATAAACAGCGGTCACAACATCGCCAGCAGCAACCAAAGAAAGTAAGGGAAGAGGATGCTAATGCAATGGGTGGTGCAGGCCCGCCCCCACCTTCTTCCCTAGGAAGCACTGAGTAAAAAAATGAAAATAACATCTTGGTGAGGACAGGTCCCAGTATGGACAGGGATTGAAGGGTGGTCATGCAGAGGAGAGTCATGGAAAACCCTTAGGGAGATGAAATTTTTGCTACTGTCTCAGTGAAGTGTTGGGGGAGAGCCCCTAGGAGGAGGCACTGCTCAGGTCGGGTTGCAGTGCCTGCTATGGAGGTTGAAGCCCAAAGGGTTGTACACCTTTGATTGGGTCGTCAGGAAACTATTAAAACGCTCTCCGTATCCATGATTCTGTTTCTGTTCTTTTTTTTTAATTTTTTTATTGATTATGCTGTTACAGTTGTTCTATTCCCCCTTCATTCCCCTCCACCCTACCCCCCCGTCCCCACCATTACCCCCCCTTTAGTTTATGACCATGTGTCTCAAGTCCTTTAGATTCTATATTTCC